GTGTACTTTATTATTTAGCAATGTCAGTTATTGCACACTGTGGGGAGTCTCTGGGGTGGGGAGGGTTGATAAGCTTTCCCAGGAATTCAACACCGTCTGCTCTACTGCTCTTAAGTATACAATGTAGGACATTAAGTGTGACCAAAACCCCGACGTGATGTTCCAGAAACAACTCAGCCGGTCCCTGAAGGTTTAAAAGAAAGCACAGATGGATCCATGAGACTAATTCTAAGAACCTGTAAATTCCTCGAGGACAAAACCACCGGCGGACACAACGAACACGGCTCATGACAATTGACTGAATTTATCATTCGCACGTATCACTGAATTGACGTGAAACCCAGCTCGAATGTGCAGAGCTGCATTGTCTGAACGCGTCGATGCACCTTTGACTCGGCCACGCAGGCCACTAATAGCTGTTATTGATCGGCGCCTCCGGCCTAGATCTAAAGCCCTTAATGACATTTGGTCCGAGACAAAGGATATCTATATATATATATATATATATATATATATATATATATATATTCACGCCTCTTTGGCTCATTACTGGTTGAATAATCTGATTGAATAAACGCTTTTTAAAGCTCCAGGGGCCCCAAATGCTCCCAAGTTCACTGATAGTCTGTTTACACTGAGGGTGGAGCGCAGAATTTGTTTTACTTGGGATTTTTCACCAGGGCGAAGCCTCTCGTCTTCAAACCAGGGAGTCACAGCTCAGAGGCTTCGCAACTGTGAGGCAAAACAGTGCAGTCCATCAAAACGGCTCCTTAAAGGAGGCCCCTCAGGCCTTAGTGCGTTGGAGCGTTGGTAGGTGGTAACGGATTTAATAAATGATCATTAACTACAGTACCAATTTATGTAACTACTATTAGTCATTCATAAACCCGTAAAATAGAATGTGAGAATGATGGTTGGGTTCAACTTTGGGATGCCGCCTTATTTTGAAAGAATTGGGAAGACTAAATGTTGATCTCAGGGTTGCTGCCAAGATGTAGACGGACCCATTATTTCAAACAAGAAAAGTAATCAGGTTTATTATGAATAAGATATTCATTTCACTACATTTACAACTAATGTTCTAAATAGCAAATAAATGAATAAACCATTAAAATAAAACGAAGATAATAATAATATATGTTACTGGAATTAATCAGACATGACGCAGAATGCTTCAATATATTTCATGTCCTTTATTCATTTTTTATTGTTTTGCACTGAGTAATTCCAAAATACAACAATTTGTATACACACCATCCACTGATACCGATACAATAGTAATGCTAATCTACTCGGCCTTCTCTATTTGGCCACAGGTTCTCATCCACATCACATCTTATGTCATCTAGGGCAATACACCTGGGGAAGAACCTTCTGGCGTGCCTGATCCATCCCTGGCCATCTTCTGCTGATATGTCCAGGCATCCAGCATGCATTGCGTCCAGGGAGGGACATTTGATCATGTGGATGGTGGTCATGAACCTTCCACCTCCATGAGGAAAACAATCCCTCGATGGGGTCGAGGATTGGAGAGTGTGGTGGGAGGGAAAGTCACACCATTCTGGGATGGGCTGCACGGAAGTGGTGAAACGCCACATTGTCCCATACAATTATACATGTTGGCTGACTTCTTCTTTCTGCATCCCTTTCCTCACCTAGCACACCCCTTCCATAGAGATCATGCAGGAACGCAAGGAGACGTTCAGTTTTGTACTATGTTATTGTTTTGAACATAAGTTTAACAGATTGGAAAACAGTGTGTAAGCATGTGCAAATCGGCCTGCAGGTACACAGAGTTTTGGCGGTTGTTGTGTCTGAGTGAGAAAAGAAATTATAAAATTTGAAAGATGTAGTCAGTGAATGCATTTTGTGCCAAAGCAATGATAATTGATCCTCAGTTTAGTCCACATATACTTCTGTTGTGCTCACTGTGTGAAGAGTTTTGAAAAAGTGATTGAGAAGTATTGAGAAATGTGTCTGTAAAAAACTGTAATACATGTATGCACTTTTACCTGCAGCGTTTGAGAAGCACCCAGGAAGACATGTAAAGTACTTTTTATGTATACGTGACGTGCCGTTTAGATCAATAATATATTTCTAACTGAGATTATTAAATTACTTTATTTATTCAGCCTAGGAACGTCCAACTCATTCACATCTGGCAAGGGCCGTTTAAATAACCATAACTAAAAAACCACTTACATAATTCAAATATGAGCTCATCTCATCTGCAAAGAAGTCAAAAAGGTTGTTTTCCCCCAAACTCCGAAAGTAAAAAAAAACGAAGGAGACCTTATTTTTTCAATGGGATGCTTCCATCTGTCCTCGGGAATGCGTGGATCGTTAAAGCCACAGAGGATGAGGTGATAACTTGGATTAACGGTTTGAAAGTCAAGGCTTATCTGCTCGGAGTATGTCCAGACTCACGGTACGCAAAGTGTTTAAGCATGACACAATCCAGAGGGCGGGAGAGTGGTTATGGAAAGGAGGCCATCAGTTAGGATTGGGTCAAAGACTTTTCAGTTGCACATTCTCACATCGGTGGACGTGCACTCGAGTATCGATTAAATGCTCAGTTGAGTAGCGCAATGAAATGTTTGCGTCATTATCAAGTCGAGGCACTCGATCCGAATTCAGTTATTCGAACTTAAAATGCAGTGATTGAGAAAACGTGTGACACGTCACGTGCAGCGAACAGCTGGGGAAAAAAAAAAGACAAAATGATCGTAATAAAATGTTGACAGAATTGGCAGAAAGCAATTAGGAGAAATGACGACAAGGGATTAGTGAGCGTGCCGTCATTTCTAAATGAGATTCCATGAGTAGATGCACTCATGACCTGCAACTCCAGCGTAGACCGCGAGATGAGCGAGATGAGTGAGATGAGCGAGATGAGCGAGATGAGTGAGATGAGCGAGATGAGTGAGATGAGCGAGTTGAGTGAGATGAGCGAGTTGAGTGAGATGAGTGAGATGAGCAATATGAGTGAGATGAGCGAGAGGAGCGAGATGAGTGAGATGAGCGAGATGAGTGATATGAGTGAGTTGAGTGAGATGAGCGAGATGAGTGAGATGAGTGAGATGAGCAATATGAGTGAGATGAGCGAGAGGAGCGAGATGAGTGAGATGAGCGAGATGAGCGAGATGAGTGAGTTGAGTGAGATGAGCGAGTGGAGTGAGATGAGTGAGATGAGCCATATGAGTGAGATGAGCGAGAGGAGCGAGATGAGTGAGATGAGTGAGATGAGCGAGAGGAGCGAGATGAGTGAGACTCGATGCGAGATGAGCGAGATGAGTGAGTTGAGTGAGATGAGCGAGATGAGCGAGATGAGCGAGATGAGTGAGTTGAGCGAGATGAGCGAGATGAGTGAGTTGAGTGATGCAGCTGGAAGCGCAGCAGCTCTCGGAGGCTCATATTTTGGGAGGCGAGGGAGTGATTGTAAAAGCCGCTCGGTGACGTCTCTTTGAACGCGGCGAAGGAGGCCGTGTATCTCCGAACCCCGCGCGCCTGTCTCCCCCCTCCCCTCGGTTTGCTCTCAAGTTAAGAATCAAAAAACAGCTGCTTCTTTTGTCACACGGGTGGTTTGATGAAGAAGAAGAAGAAAAAAATGCAGCTTTTGTCTGCGGCGTGTCAACAAGCGCTCGAACGCCGGATTCTTCCTCCTACGAGGAATCTTTCCAAGTGACCTCGGCAGATATTTATGACGCACAGCTGCACACCTTGACATCGAGGTCGGTTATTATCTGCGGATAATAAGAAAAGCTGTAAATACTTCACACGATTCAACTGTAACTTGTGAAAAGTTTAAGGTACAAGAATTCCTTTTTTTTTTTTGGGGGGGGGGGGGGGGGGGCGAGATGCTCTTGCGAGGCAACAGAGGACACGACAGGAAGAAGAACGTTGTATTGAGGATTCCTGTGATCTAACAACTCATTTGGCTCCTCGTATACCGTAAATGGGCCAAATGACATTTCCAGTGCCTCTTGGGACGATGATGATACTGCTGCACATGACAGTCGGTTGGAGGTCGTGGCGGGTCGGTGATTCACAGCCTCGTCCGGGGGGGGGTTGATGTTATTATTGTTATTAAACGGTGGAAGTCGGATGAATTACATCATCGCGTTTTGTTCATAACCTTCGCCTGGCAGGCTGAGCGAGCATGCTCTTTTTGTTTCGGCGTTCATAAGCGGTAATGACTGAAATTCACAAGCGGGAGCAGAAGAAACGCCACCTGCGGAGGAGCGGACGCGTGGAGGTTAAGTCGCTTAATTGTATTGGGGAGTGGAGGGAATTACTTCCACTTCAGACTGTCCAGGTCTCGGATCTGATTCTTGTTATTGTTTAACCAGCTGTACTCTGGTACCAGCACACTCTGAAACATGAGTTTAAATCATCGTGCGCTTTTAATTACCGCCTTCAACGGCCTTTTAATTCGAAAAACAGTGCAGAGGGTAAATCCAGGAAGCATTACGGCAAGATCTTTAAAAAACTTTGAATATGTCTTAACATTTCATTTGCCATTCAAAGTGAGCGTCATGCATTGCCGGAGGAGCTTTATTTTTTAACATAACATTGGAAGGAGGAGCGAAGTGATTCAAAACACAAGAAAGTAAACTCCTTTTAAATGTGAAAGTATTTATTATTTGATTTGTCTGAGGGGAGCAATCATTTAAGTTTGCTATGCTGAGACGTGGGGAGAGACTCTTTGTTCTTCTTTGTGCAGCGAACCTCTTCATGTACTTCATGTTGTTTTATGATGGAAAGCAGATGAAATAAGGCGTCTCGGTGACCTCATCCTGCAGGCACGTATTGGCTGCTGTCATTAAAGAAAGTGCTTAATCATACAACTCGGTTGTAAATTTGACAGTCTGGGAAAGAAAATCGTACTGTTCCAATTAAAAAGTACAAAAAAAATAATCATAGATTGATACATTTTAATCAGACAGTAACTTTGCTTTTCACGGTAACAGCTGGCGTTAGTTATTCTGTGTGTTATTCCCTGAAGAAGTGTGTGCAACTGTCTTTTAACACAGGAAGAGGAAAGTGTTTTTTGTTTTTCAACAGCATAATCTTTCTTTGAGGAAGCGGTGTGTGTGTGTGTGTGTGTGTGTGTGTGCGTGTGCGTGCTTGTGTAGCCGTGATGTCTCAACGAGTGAGTCAAGTCTCCTTAATGAAGTTTCCGTGCAGGGATGCATGCGCACCTCGCACACAAGGACCACTGAAAAACGACCCGATCGATCAAATCGATTTGAACGCTTGGCCGCGACCCCTCGTCCCATTTGACAGAAAGATGTGTCTCTCGCCACGGCCCCCCCCCCCTCCCCCCTTTCTTTAACGACTTAACAAGTACGCGATAGTGTGAAGATGCAATCAAAAAGATATAAATGAGAGCACCGAGACATCATGATAATCCCACCGTTCAGGAGAAATGGTAGATTGTCTTAAGAGGAGGATGTAGGGGGGGGGGGGGGGGGGGGCAGCCTAATAATACCCTGAGGGGTTCCCCTTGTGTTTTTGCTGCATCGGCAGCCGCCATATAAAAACGCGCGGGGGGGGGCCTTGTGGGGCCCACCGCCCCAATAAACAGGCCCCTCTTTTTTTTGAGAGAGGCAGGAGACTCCTCTCCTTTAATCCCACCCCAAAGGCCTCGAGGACTCCCAACTCCACTCATGTGTCTTTAAAAAGAGCTTTCCTCCTCTTCCCCACTGAGCGTTTCGTTGCAGAGCAGAGCGAGAGCAGAGGAGGAGCACAGGGGATCCGAGTCAGGAGTCACTTCACTTTTGGAAGATCGCTGGACCAAAAAAAAAAAAAACACAGGGAGCAAAACCAGAAGAGACTGAGGAGAGGGAAGCGACGCTTCTGTAAAAGGTAAAAAAAAAAAAAGAAAAAGGAAAGAAAGGAAAATGTCTTTAGCTTGCATGTCGATTCGTGGTTTGGCATGAATCAAAACTGTGTCTGGTTCTTGTTAGCTTCTCGCTTTCCTGAACAGAGTAAAGACGGTGCATCGATTACCCACATTTACTGATTTAGAGATGCATTTCTTTCTCGGGTTTATTATTCACGGTTACGTCTCAGGTTCTTTCCACAATATGCTCTAGTTGCCTTTAAAAATGTCTTTCAAATACCACGAACGCGCCACAAACACCAAATCTGGATTAAAGACCTAATCATAATAAGTTACTATTTTATCGGCACATGAGGTTTTACATCTATTTTGATCGCGGCAGAGTGTTTCTGCAGAGAGCAGAGCTTCGCCGAGTGAGTCATAATGTAGGAAGAGTGGAGAGCCTCTGAGTTACAGAGAGACGATGGCCCACCGAGGAGCCGCTCCGTGTTACACAGAACCAAGGGGGAAAACAACAAGAGGCATATTCCCAACAAAGGAAACGAGATTAACTCGGTGCACCAGAATGAAAAATGTACAGGGGAACAGTGGAATAACCACATATCAGTTTAGTTTGTTTTTCCAGGAAATCTAGCCTCCACAAAATAAACATCGGAGAATTGATGTTTGCAAATAGATGGTTGAACAGAGAGAGAGAGAGAGAAGGAGTGAAGGGAACGCAGCAGCAATCAGATCAAGAGGAGCGTTTGCCAGACGAAAATGCGTCATGACTGTATTTCATCTCCTGAAAGAATTTCTTTGTCATCACGTAAGAATGAATATCTCCTTTCTGAAACATGTGCACTGCGTATACGTCCACGAATGAATGAACGAACGCAGCCTCCGTCAATAGCGATCTGTTTCCCTCCTCTTGGCGTTGAGGATGTGCTTGAAGTAGCAGATCAAAACGTCTGCTGGTCCCTTTATCTCACAAAGCAACTTTTATGGTCATTTTTAATGCAGATCTCCCTGTTGACGTAGCTGAGGGCAACGGAGCCTTTTCACACACTAAATTACCCCCATCAACATCCTCGTGTGTCGTCGAACAACTAAAAGACGGCATTCATTGACTTCTTTTACTTATTTGTTTCCTTCAAGTTTACGCCATTAAATTCAGAGGCCGGCTGGAATGTAGTTTAGGGACCGTATGGAAGGTCCTGCGGTGAGGAAGCGCGTTGAACAGTAATCTTTGATTCTTTTTAGAGGCCGAGACCTTCCCCGGGGCCGTTAAGGACTCACTGCGCCCGCTGTGCTTCTGAAGCTGTGAATGAATTGACACAACAGCGCTGGGATGAAAGACATCTATGGTCCTTTTAGTGTTGACATTTGGAATAATCTGCCTTCCAGGGTTTAATATTGCTCAAAACACTCTCTACTGTTTCAAATCCGTGATACTAATTGTGACCTTTGCACAGTCTGTAAAATAGGTTGATCCCTTCACCTCAACCTCAATTATCTCAGGTTTCATGTCCGTGAATCCTACACAGTTCAAATCATCACTTGGAAAAACCTGCAAACCTGAATGTTGCATCCTGTTTGCATTACAGCTGCTACGATGTTGTAACAAGAGCTTCTAACTGATCCGTAACATCACAGGCGTTCAAATTACTCGGCACTGCAATATTTCGAAATCATCCGGCTTTTGGATTCAAGTGAGCGTTTTATGGGTCAAAGTTACGATCCTTTGACTGTGGGGTCACTCCGGGACAGCAGCTGGACCGGCAGCCAAAACATCATTGAATCATTTAAGTTAATCTGACTGTTTACCATCACGCCAGCCGGACCCGGGACTTTTCCCACCCAAAAGTTTGTTTTTACAAATGAACAAAAAATGAAAATGGATCAGAGGCAATAATATTCCCGTCTAAGCTTCTCAATAAAACTCACCAGCATGTTCTAGCAATTTAAGGATTCCAATGCTTACCAGCGGTCTGGGTGATGGATGGGGATCGACGTTCACAGCGGCAGTGCACGAGGCCCAGTTTGTAGCAACACCGAGCGTAATAATAATAATGAGGGCTGCCTTATTACACGCACGCCATGGCGTCTTGCGTAACCCTCGTGCAGCTCAAGCTGAAACTGGAATCCAGTCCAGGAATGGACCTTTTTTTTTCCGTTTGTAAACAGCGACGAGGAATGTATGTGCGCGCGCGAGCAAGTACAGGAGACCAACCAGGGACAGATGTACAGGCAGCGATGCGCTGCGGGTTTGCCAACAACGGCGTTGTGCAACAGTGCATTCTGTAGTTTGCTTATTGGATCAACACACAGGATGTGAACACGATGCACTTGGACACTACGAGCCCTGGTTGGACTCCCAGTAGACGCACGGATGGCGTGATGAAGCCAAGTGATGCACTGAAGATTTCATTGGTTGTTTTGGTTGAATACAACGTATTCTGCAGAGCGTATGGACCAGTGTTACAGGTGAAATGCTACTGACTTTATTAGGTGCTTACGTCATGAAGCGGCCACAAACTCGATGATGCACACAAAAACTACTTTTGATCATTTAAGGTTTTCTATAATCCTTTAAGAGAAAATAGATAGAGACAAATATAAGATCCACTACCAATCAAAAGTTTGGACATTTCTCATTGAATTGGTACAGAAACTAAAAATACCCCTTCCTACTGGTCCCAAACCATTACATTCCTCCTGCCTTTCTTATGCATTAGTCAAATGTTCTTCAAACAGTCCTTTTGGATACAAACCGCCAGTCGTAACCAATCGCACATTTTCTCGCCTGTTTCCATCCAGCACTTTCAAATTTGCAACTGATAAACAGTTAACAATCCCACATGCTGTCCGAAAGAAGGATTGGTGACGAATGGCATCGGCTCGCATAAATTCAAAGATGCGAACAAAGACGCAAACTGAACTCGCGCTTCTGTTCTCCACACCAGGCGGAACATGGTGAGCCTTTCGTGGCTGCTGGTGGTGGCGGTGGCTTGTGCGCGCCTCCCCGGCTTTGGGTCGGCGTGCTTGGACCGATCCCAATGCGATGAGCTGAACGGCGAGGGGGAGACACAGGTAGGTCAAACTGTGAGATTCATCGTAAGGCGTGGCCTAGTTTATATCAATAGGGGATTTTTTTAAAAATGACTAAAAGTAAAAGTTTCATTCTTGACTTTTGAAACAGCTGTGGTCGAGATCAACTTTTTTGCTGCTTTTTAATGTTCTGCAAATACTTTAATGCTCAATTTTTCAAGCCGACAGGGAGGAGAAAATGAGAGCAAATCAAAAATTGAAACATCTTCAACCAAATCGAAATCTATCTGCGCCGAAACATTGCGTGTATCATTGGACTCAAAGCGATGCTGCTCGTTAGTGTGTAACCATCAACTCTTGGTTTCTCTCTGACCCCCTCCCCCCCCGTACAGGACTGCATCCGCCGCTGCGTATCCGCCGTCCAGCCGGAGGCCCCTCGGCTCGGCGCGTTGGCCCTGGAGGTGAGCGGCGACGACGGCGACCTCCCGCTCAGCGTCATCCTGGCCGCCCTGGTTTCCGAAAACAAGATACCAGAGTCGGACCTGAGAGGCCTCAGCGACGCGCGGCGCTCCTACTCCATGGAGCATTTCCGCTGGGGCAAACCAACGGGCCGCAAGCGTCGCCCCGTGAAGGTGTTCGCCTCCTCCCTGGAGGGAGGGGGGTCCTCCGAGCGCGGCTTCCCCGCCCTGGCTCGCAGGCAGCTGGGCCTCAACAAGTACAAAGCGAGGGACCTGAAGGAAGGGAGTCGGGGCCAGGCTCCGCAAAGGGTCGGCCACAAGGCCCAGGCCCCGGTGAGCCTGCCGGCGAGGAAGGACGGCGCCTATCGGATGAGCCACTTCCGATGGGGGAGCCCGCCCCCCTCCAAGCGCAACGGCAGCACCATGAGACAGCCGAGGAAGAAACCTAAAGGTCAGCTGGACAAGCTGCTCAGGAACATTTTCCTCAAGGACGTGCAGAGGAGTAGAATGGGCTGATGGGAGGATTGGGATGGGGGGTGGGGGGTGGGGGACAGGGAGGGGGGGGGGGAGTAGTTGACCCAATAGCCTTTGCATGTTAACACCCACAGCAGACACTTGTCACTATAGTTAGCGTGTTGCCGAGTGTCTCCAACCGTTTCTGTTCATTAAAAACCGAAACTAAAGATGAGAAACGAGGCGGGTTTGTGTTGACGGGCGTCCCGTGACCTTTTTGGTCTGAATTGGGAGCTTTCTTAGGAACGTGTGTGGTTGGATTAGTCAGTATTGAGCCATGTAGTCTGAAGAAAACAGAGAATGCCATTCCAGGGCAAGAGGTGAGTGTAAATAAAATAACATAAAACAATCCCGATTATTAAGTGGTGTCTTTCCTTGTAATTTATATTAATAAAGATTGTTCTGTACTTGGCAAACAAAAAAAGCAATTCTCTGATTTGACAATAATCACAGAGGTTTAACATGAATCATAGATTATCAATGACACCAGGCCTATTATTAACGAACTAACAACTTATTAACTAATTACTGACTGTTTAAAGCAAACGTAGCCCACAAGTATGAAGCCTTCTCGTCTGAGGAGTTCACATGTGTTTGTTCTATTGGACACATTCTGTTGAGAGAAAAGACGCCACTAAAATACACGTTGGATTTAATTCGGAAGAGCAAACACACAACGCAGGTACTGATGCAAGTAGTGTAACAGAAACACAACGGTCACAACACAACAAGTAACAACACTACAAGCAGAGTTAAAGAATCTTTGCGATTGCTCAATACTGCAAGTGACTGAGCACTCCGTGTTAAGAAGACATCCGTGTTTGGAGTTGAGGGATTATTTTCACACGCTGCATGATGACACTCGGCAGCTTCCTGCACCTCGAGCAGATCATATTATTAAAACACATTCCACTTCAGCAGGCTTTTCGCTTTCAACTTAAAACTAAATAAATCAGAAACAGATCAGACGCGTTGTGGTTACACACACATTTATTGTACAACACCGTGACATCACTAGCATGCAGATTCAGGTATGACACTCATAAGGCATTTTCTCCATGTAAAAGCTGCCTTTGTCACTCGGTTATCCAGGTTTTAAAGTGCAAAGTTCACCGAATGAATAGATTTGACCTACAGCACTACGTTGTAAACAGATCTATTAACCAGACATGTGATGATAAAAGGAAGATTGAATTACCGTCAGCTAATATTACGTCACACTATGCAATGACAAGCACACTGATAGATTAACAGGTCTTTGCTGCAACATCTCAAGATGCTGAAGGACATTTGACACTGTGCCACTGGAAGCCTGGACAGCTGCACGTTGCACTACGATAGCTTGTTCTCGGTTAACGTGGCGGAAAGAAAGCGTGAGCCATGTATGAAAAGTTTGGTCTCAGGTAATATGGACAAAAAAAAACGTGTCTGCGTGCATCTCCTTATAGACAAATACGAAGCGCACACGTTGAACTGATCCGATGCACTGGCATGAGGGGACATAAACACGCAGAAGACACTATATGGGGCAAAAAAAAAAAAAAGAAAAGTAACCAACGACTGGACCGTGTCACATGACCACCAGGGACAAACACATTGATTAACTGCAGCCTGATTCTCAGAAGCAGGTGGGGGGGGGGGGTTATAACAACGTCACAAGACGGACCGTCACAGCACAGCCACAGGAGTGCACAGTTAATAACAACGGAGCTGCTACCAAGTAACCAAGGCAAAATTATTGCCATTATACCTTTTTCATGTTTACAAAGATGGCTTTTAGACGCATTGGTGGGTAATAACCACGGTGATTATTTCAGCGCTCGTTGATTCGTTCGCAGCACACACACACACACTCGTGCGATCTAATGATTTGGAGATGATGCAGGTTTCTACTGGGGGGGGGGGGGGGTCCGCTGGGACTGCTTTGATTTCACGTGCTGCTGGTTATCCTTGCGAGACTTTGAACAAACGTATCCGAATGCCAACTAAGTAGCGCGTTCCCTTACTTACGGAGACCGTTAGTGCAGTGGCAGTCTAAAAGAATCAATATACAGGATTTATACACACAAAGACAGACGGAAAAACCTCCCTGCTCTGTACATCAGCTTAAAGATTTATATATTTCTCTGTATATACACATTTATATGGAGAGGAGGAAAATAAAGGATCCCTAATGATCTTCCAGTGTTCGATCGGGTTAACGTCACAGTAAACACTTCACAAGTTTAGTGTGGTCATGACTGTGGCGCAGTGTGTATGTTCTGACTTGAGTCACCTGTAAGGCACACTCACTTTGGGAGGATAGCACTCAGATTGAGTTTCCTTTCGTTTAAAACTTGGCTTAAAATAGAGAAAAAACGCACAAAAAAATAGTTGCAGGAAATAAATGCCAGACATGAAAAAAAAAAAAAAAAGCACTTTTGGCTGAACAATAAAAAGGCAAAACAAAGGGTAAAGCGCTAAACAGTGAAGATAGATGTTCAGCGCAAAGTAACAAGGGCGATAGGAAGTAAAACCTTCATAAAGATAACACTAAAATATACATATACATCATTCAAACATACAAAAATACACTAACATGTAAAGTAAAATGCAATCTTATTCATTCAAGCTCATCCTGGCCATGCGATCAATAGAAAGAAAATAAAATTTAGGTATAAAATAAAATATCAATATGGATTAAAAAAAAAGGATTTTATCATCAATGATAGTATGGCACCCTGTGAGGGACAAACGGGTCAAAAGAATGTCCTACAATTGGCATGCAACAAGCCAATTCATTCTCAAGCCACAGGAAATGGTCCAGATTGTTCCTCACAGTTCTTCTCACACTCAATGAAATTTTTAGACCCTTAAAGAGAACTCAGAGGATTGCGCTAAATTTTTAAAAAAGCTCTCGTTATCACTGCTGCGTTCATTGACTTCAGCAGGCTTGTTTCGGCCGCTACAACTGGACAAAAATCATCTCAGGAAAACTAGTTAATAAAGATGTGGCTTGTTCTTGAGTTGGCTTCACACAACTATGGTTTTCTCCTTGTGTTTCTCCCCCTTGTGGCCGCTTGCTTTACAGTGAGTCATCGGCTCCACCTCCCAGATCCCCACTGGCCTTAAACCGGGAAATAGTTGTGTGCCTTCGCTTGGCGGTCTAGTACACACACAGGTCAGGGAACTTCATCTCGTAGATGGGTATAGATCGACTCTGGCTTTGGCCGTAACCTGACGAAATGGTTCCGGATGGGCTGGGCGGGGGTCTGAATGGGAGGAGAAAGCCGTCACAGCGAGTTCAAAACGTCCTCCTCGACGTCGTCGCCATCAGTGTCGCTTTTAAACCCATTTCAAATATTCCAAAAACCTACCTGATGGTGATGTCAAAGATTTGATTGAGTTTGCTCTGAAGGAGTGTGGCCTAGAAGGGCAAAACGTGTGCAATAGTACAAAAGATTAAAACAAAGAGTTTAAAGGATTTAAAGAATTGGTAATGAAGGAAAGGGGTTGGTCGTACCCGGGCACCACAGTGTGCTGCTATCTCCTCGAAGGGGGCCTTCTGAAACTTCTCCACCACTTGTCTCCTCCGCTCCCTCTCCTGCTCCTCCATACCCACACTGTCCACTAGGGGGAGACACAAGCGACATCCACGTTGCAGAATCCCTCTGGGAGAAAGAAGAACTAAAAAAAAAAATACTAAAAAAGTAGTTTGGTAACTACGGTTTCCCATCCCACCATGTTCTCCGCTTCATCTTCCCCAACACCCACTACACCGTCACCAAATGCCTCAAAGATATAAAAGACCCGGATGCGTCATCATCGAAATCCCACCGACACGACAAGACTCCTTTTGCATCGACGGCACCACTGTTTCCACCTCCACATCAATCTCCATCAATCTCAAAAACATTGCCCGTCTCATTGTGTATTGGATTAATGTAACAAAGCAAAGTAACTAGCAACTTGATATATGATATCATTTAGAAAATGTCAATACTCGAGTAAACAACATCGGGCTTATTGTACTTATTGAATGTAACGAGTCAAATTCCCTCACTGGTTTCAACTAAAAAGGACGAACGTTACTAGAAATCAACAGAGCGCTGTAAACATGGTGGTACACGGCCAGAATGTAATTTCACCAATACTTCTCAAAAAGGGGGAGGACGTACCAATGGCATTTTTCAGGGTTTCGAATGTGATCTCCTCTGCTGGTGTCCTCTGTGGAAAAGAAAAATGTTGAGCATGACGCTCAAACAAGGTACCTCAAACCTCCTTAAAGAGGATACGTCTGATGAAACCGCTCTACCTCCTCTTTCTCTGGACTGTTCCTGGACTCCATCTCCACCTGCAGCGAGACGGTCTCCCCGATGCTCTTTCTCTTGGACAGACGGTCCTCATCTGGAAACAGCGAAGTCAGTTTCTTCAATTTCTCTTGAACAGAAAACTAACAAACAACTTGTACTACGTATACAGCAGCTTAATGCATTTGCTGAATATGTAAAAGCGGAGTCAACCTGTACAGAATAAGACGCGGCCTTTGATGGTCTGACAAACGTATACGTGCACCGTAAAAGGTTCCCCGAGGTAGACCGGGCTCGACCTTTCAATGATCCTCGCTCCAGCCTCAGAGCTGCAAAAGGCTCTGGCCTGATGAAGTGTCCTTCAATGAAACACTAAATCCCTGCTAGCTCCAGGCGAGCAGCTCCCCGCTGCATCTCACAAACAGGAATCAATACAGCGCCGACGCGGGGTCGCAGCACGCTGGCAGGTTGATGAACTGTATCGTTATTTATTTACTCGGCGAGAGGACGACTCACGGCTGTATTGTGAACTCGGTGTCAACAGAAAACGGATGTATTGTTTGAGCTCCTCACCGGTGTACTGAGGGACGTAAGGCGTCGCCAGCCGATCTGTGTTGTAACCGCTTCCTCCGAGCACCTCAGTGATCTTTGACTGGAGGAACAAAACGTCCCCTTCCACCTTCTCCGCTGAAGAAAGCAGCCTAGGAAGAGAGAGTAGTGAGATACATGCATATAAATGTCATATACACACACACACACACACACACACATAACTGAACATAAAATCTTATAAAATAGTGCCATGGTTTGGGAGAAAGGAGAAGGGAACGTGGCCGGTTCATACTTGGGGTCATCAATGAAGACATCCTCAGGCAGAAAGTAGGGACTTTTTTTCTGTCTCACCTCAATTACCTGCAGGGCGGACGGAAAAGGCACTTTATTAAAAGGGGTTCTTGGTATTAACTCTCTCACACATACACACACACACACACACACACACACACACACACTCATGAACAAAGAAGCCCGGGCCGACCTCCTGGATGTGCTGGCAGAAGGCTGGGACGGTGGTGAGCTGGCAGATGAGGTTGAGGTAGGCGGCGGCGAGGGCGTGAACGGCACAGCGGTTAAACACGGGCAGGTCCTCGTCGGTGGACAGAGCCAGGTCCTTCAGACGGGACAGAGACACGTTGAACCCTTGAACCCACCAACCCGCCCGCCCGCCCCGCCTGAGAAACCCCAGCACCCAATTCTCTGCAGCCCGCAATGGCTCACGGACGTCCTACAAGCACATCATGTGGCGTTTGTTTTATATCTTTTCCCAGTGTTATGAAACGTATCGGATTAAGGCAGTGCAGTGTCAGCGGATAACTACGTAGCGCGACTGCCACAACTATTCACATCACCTAAACTAAAGCACAACGCATCGCGCGGGTACCTGCAGGGCGAGGGCCAGGCGTATGAGGTCCACCACCACCTCTTCGTTAGCCAGCTCCACGCTGAGGATGCCCAGCAGAGCGAAGAGGGACTCGTAGTGCTGCCGCCCGCTGCTCTGCTCCTTGCAGCCCAGGTAGATGTGTCGGTACAGCTGCTGGCCGTGCTGTCAGCAGGGTGAGAGGAGGCCAGAGGGGTTTGAGCGGCTCATTCACGCTTGATTTAAACCAGCTCTTGAGTGAAAAACACCTCAACTGTTGTTGTACCTTTTTCATGAACAAGTTGTCCTGTCTGGAACATTTGTCCACTTTGAGTTTGAGCAGCGAGATGTCCGAGATGATGCTGCGTAGAGAGAGCGCACAGCGATTAACGCACTACAAACAAAGCCCCTACAACACCGACAAAACCACCACGTTCCCGCAAAGCCGCCCCTCCTCCTCCGCACACCTGATGTCTCTGAACTTGGCCGTGTTGTCGTGCCGGTCGATGAGACTCAGAAGGATCTGGAGCACCAACAACCGGATCTCCGGGTCTTCGGTCAGGAAGAAGGAGAGCAGCGGCTCCAGGAAGGAGGTGGGCAGCGCCGTCAGCATGTTGGTGGTCTGGAAACCGGCCGTCACCTGAGAGATGAACGATGACACTTTACAGCAACTCATTCCCAAGACGCACATACAGGGTTTGACAGGAAAAGACGCGTAACAGTCTCAAGAAGTCTGAGGAAGCCACTGACTGAGCGGCTGTGAGGTTTGGATCTGTTCCACGTAGCAGTTCTGATGTTGGATTTTGTTTACATGAAATCAAGGTAATTAATCTAAATGGATGGATGGTTGTTGTTGTTGTTTTCACAAGTACAACATTTTAGGGTTGGGTTAAAAATGAGCAGCAGAAAAGTAGCCCTGCAGAGCAAACACTCCTCGGATCACAGGAAGACAAGTGTGAACCTGTGCAAGGAAATGAAAAATGAGGAATTCTGAGACCATTAAGAGTGCTGCCAAAACACACACCGGTTGTGGGGAATGAAATATCTATGCCGGGATAACATTCACAAGACTACAGCTATTGAGAGGTTGAATGGAATGGTGAACAGCTTGTAGCAGGATTGTATAAATCACTCTCAGAAAATGATAAAAATCCCACTTTTAAAATCTGCAAGGTGTCTTCCACTTTAGAGCTCAGTGAAAAAACCACACAAAAGGACCAACGACATTTTAAATGAATAATAATGCAAGGCTGAAAACGTACCTGGACCAAGGACTTGAGTAACATGACCTGAATCATCCTGGTACCCTCAGAGCTGGAGATGAAACCAAAGGAACCAACGTTTAGGTCTGAACAGGCTGACAGAGTACAGTCCACACGAGGAGGAAATATGGTGAAATAACTCACTAATCTCCCAAACACATGGATCTAACTTACCCGCAGCCTGAGGAGGGCAGAGCTGGGTGAATCCCAGGGACGGGGATTTTACCCATGATGAAGAGCATGACCTCTGACCTCTGGTATGTCGGGAGAGTGTTGGCAAATGAACCTAAAAGAGAACGAGACGGAAAGAAGCGTCAAAAGAAAGAAGGCGAACACTAGTCTTAAAGACGCACGGCGCTCAAAGCAGATCAGCGGCAGGCGAGAAGAAATCGTTTGTCTTATTATGTAAAGTGCACATACACACCAAAACACATGCTGAACTTAGATATTTTTTTTTGTGCACTCCGGACACCACACACACACACAATGACACAAACCAACAACACGAAGACACACTAATGCCCCAGGGACCCACCGATGGTCCTGATGACGGCCTCCTGCAGCTGCCTCTCCTCGTGGGCTTTGATGATCTTCGTGCCGATGTTGGTGCTGCCGTCGTAGGAGCCGGTCAGCTCGTAGTCCGCACTCAGACGCAGCTGCCGCAGCAGCGTGTTGAACACCTCCAGCACTGTGGGGCCTGCGCGCACAAACAAGTGGGCGATGAAAAGAGCAGCTCGTCCCGCTGACACGCACACGCGGGTCACAGCACGGCGACCCCTCGATCTGTAAATCGTCCCATTTTAGGACCACGGCGCGCTTATCTCCTCACCCACGGAGCCGCTGGCTGCGATGGCGGCTGCCTCCAGCAGAACCTCCACTATCCCGGCGCGCACCGTGGCCGAATTCTTGCTGTTAGCATCCAGGTGGCCGAGGAGCTGCTGGATCACCAAGTGAGAGTGCTGGGACTACAAGAGAAGGAATGGATGGAAAAACTGATTTGCAGGATTAGTAATCCAAGATGGCGCCCGCGGAAAGAAGCCTCGGTGTTGCGCTTCCTCCTTTTTTTTGTTTTTTGTTACGATTGTATTTCAGCTCTCCAGTCAAATCCCCGGGAGAGGGACTTTTGAACACTCGACACGTCCCGCTGCACCACTTTTTTATACAACCAGAAAGTTTTTCACGGCTTTAAATTGGAGGGGCAGCGGCTCTCTACGGGATTACCGGGCGATGCCGCCGATGAGATTAGATTTCTATGTTCACAGGGGGATTTCCACAGTACCCAGAAACATGGGGATCTGTAAATAGCCACACAGAAAAACTGTTGGAAAAACTCCAGTAATGTCCAGTCATGATCAGCAGGACAGAAAGTCTGTACTCTTCGTTACAGTGATACAAGCGTCACGTCAGCTGATGTCCAGAAAATGTCCTGAAGTGTAGAACATAAGTGCACCTCTGACCAGATGGTAGCAATGTGCTGGATTAGGGAGTGATGAGTGACATCGGATATGCGGAGTGCTCGGCGAGTAATGGCTCCGAGGTTCATATCTGAGAGACGGGCCGGGGGGAAGTCAGTGTGTGGGAGGTTGGAGGTTGTTTTGTTGAAGCGTAATAATTTACACATTTTTTTCTATTTAAACAGCCTTTATGAGTTATGCTCGGTTGTCCGTTTCTATGGGAGTACATCAAGAAGCATCCCTGTAGGCACCTACAGGGATGTTTCACATGCTAAATCTTCTAGTTCATCTTTAAACTCCATGAACCGGAACATTTCGTTACCCATTCATGATAGAAAAGATGAGAACAAGAAGAAAACATGGACTGTAAACATCGGAGTAAATCACACCAAATGTTTCAGGATTTCACCATTTGGACGTGGATTTAAGGTCAACGAGGTGAAAGACATAAAAGAGGAGCTGAAGAGGTGTTTGTGGATGTGTAAGCACTGGATCACTCACCTGGATGGAGTACATGATGATTTTGAAGCAACGCACTGCAAAAGTCTTCCCCTCCCATAGAGAGTGGTTATCCAAGTGCCTGAGGAGCACAGACAGGAGGGGAGGGAAGAAGATGTAATCATAAACCGACAGTAATAACGGAAAGCAGCAAGGGATTTGGACTCCATATTAAGAATACCGTAGGGATAAAATGCAAAAGCAAAAACGTGATATAAATAAGGATGTACGGCCGACTTTACTGTCCATATTCAATGATTAAAGGATTCAGGGAAACGTGGGGCTTTAACTCGGCCTTTCATTGTGGAATGTAGTTGGGATCTTGATACAAAATGCAAAACCCAGTCGATGATAAGAATCAGTATCATGTGACCCATCAAACAGGATCAAGATCGTTACCGAGTCTTAAAGTACACAGAGAAAGAGAGGCGGAGGATGGAGTCAAATTAATGTTTCCAGCTTGAAAGACATAAATGAGATATAAGAATCACAGAGGGGCAAAGAACAGGTGGCCACACAAAATGAAAACTCAAAATACAAAAAAAGGAATAGACAGATAAAAAAGAACCATAGAAGCCAGACCGCAACATTAATGCACTGATAATACAATTAAAATCATGTACTCACATCCTGTCGGACGCAACTATGTAACCTTGCATTGACCTTGTCACGCCCCCACATGCCAATCAGCGCACAGATAAATACACCGCAACGCTGCATTAACGATTCATCCTTCTTTCAAGTGTAGCCAATGCGACATTAGACGAAAAAAAAGAAGAGGACGACGGGAGAGTTGGGGAGGAAGAGGGTTGTCTCACATCAAAACCGGCGTGACGGCATTCTTGATGTTTCCATAGGCGGCTCGTCCCAACAGCTCCCTGAAGCAGCGCTCCGTCAGCTCCACCGGGCTCTCCTTCTCCTTCTCCGACGCCTGCAGCGGGGAGGGGGAGCGGCTGGCGATGCAGGTAAGAGAAGCAGGCGAGAGGGAAAGGAGGGAGGAGGGGTGAAGAGAGGCAGAGACGGGGAGAGAGAGAGAGAGAGAGAGAGAGAGAGGAATTGAAATCAATTTGATTCAGTATCACAAACATTTTCACAAAAGGCTCGATCACAAAAACACTCCCCGGGATGCTGCGTCACTGCAGCACTTCTCCCTCAGCAGTTTGTCCAAAGCGATTCTATTTAATGGCAATTAAAAACAGCAGAAGCAACAGAAATACTGGAATAAAATACTGGGTTTAACGACTATATTCCTCCTTAAGACTTGAAAGCTGCAGCGATCAGACCTCTCGTCCACTTTCAAACAATCCTGTGCAGCTGCAATGTTAAAGGATCCTGTCTGTTGATTTTGTGCTGAGGCAACGTCTTTGGCAAAAATGCTGACGGGACGTAAAAGCTTTCGTCGGTACGTAAACACCTCATTAAAACCAACCAACCATGCTGGCAGTTGTTCTTAGAGCAGACGTATTCAAACACCCTCGGACCCCCCCCCCCCTTTTGTACTGTTACAAACTGGAATTCAAATTGATTTAAATAGACGTTTTCCCCATTTGATGAGCTCAACAAGCACATAAACAGTACATAAACAGCAGCTTTCTTCTCGCCACTCTTCCATAAAAGGCCAGATGTGTGGAGCACACGACTGATAGCGGACAGGTTTCTCCCCCCTCGGCTGTGGATCTTTCTCGATCCTCTCGATTGCTCCTCTGGTAAATGTTCTCCAGATCCGGATGGTGAGTTTGGGTTTGGGGTTGTGCCGTATTCTTTCCATTTTACGGAGATGTGAAAAGCTCGGGATACTTTTTTACAAGCTAACCCTGCTTCATGAATCTCCACAACTTTATGGGATGAATACACATGGGACTCATTTGGAAATCCATGTAATTATCTTTTATTATTTTGGTGTGGCTCAATCACATAATCCCTGTGTGTGTGTGTGTGTGTGTGGGGGGGGGGGGGGGGGGGTGTACTTATGCGAGGCACTGTAAAAGAGATTGTAGCACCTCCGGATATAAACTCCAGATATTAGTCTCGGCTGTCAGAGGACTCTACTAAAACTGTGCCTGGTTTAATCTTTAACTGAACTTGTTCATGGGGATTAACGCAGAGAAAACGGCACCATCTGCGGGTTTAATTAGACCACGCTGGCTACTGTGGATTTTATGGACGCTAATGAGGAGGACGCACAGCAGGGAGGGCTTCAACACACACACACACACACACGCACACACACACACACACACACACACACACACACACACGGAGTGAAGCTGAGAGCGAAACGTGTCTGTCTCTGTCCATCTGTCTCGCTCGCTCTTTCAGTAAGCCTCGCATTACAGTCACCGTACTTTCTATTATCTTTCCTCCACCCGGTAGCCAAAATGTTCCCCTCTCCCTCTGCTCCCCTAACCTTCAGATCTCGACATTGACGTCAAAGGGAATTTCACAATGTGGAGTTGTGCCAACAAAGGGAGGCTGCAGACTGCATCTCTTTTTCTCTCACTGGCAACCTCCATCTTTCATTTATGATGCTATTATTCTCAACCCTTTTTGTTCATTCTGTCCTTTTAGCACTCTTTCCCCCCCCTTTTGCTCCCGGACATTTTCCTTTCTCCACATTTATTGGCATCTTTGCCCTTGGATGCTGACTGAAAAGACAGCTGCAGCACGAGAAGGCCTGTCAGTGGGTTCGACGCGTGATGACGTTGATGATGATGAATGACAACGGGGGGGACAACCGGGACAAATGTGGCCCGGCGCGAGAGACAAAACCAGTCGGCCACGGCACATGGGCCCGAGCGCCGAGGCGTGGCGGGTCGACGCTGACCTCGTTCGTGGTCATCAACTTTGTCAACACGTGTTGGCAGAGCCCGGCCTGATGTGTGAAGAGGCTTCAACCTCCGGCCGGGTCGCTGTGTTTAACGCACGTTATTCTCCGCTCTTTGACTGACTGATCCTGCCGGCCAGCACTCACCTCTCGGTGCGCTCTCCGCTCTGCAGGTTGAAGAGCAGCGAGGGGACGATCTTGTCCATGTGCTGAGGGTCCCAGATGTTGGCCTGCAGCTCATCGTTCACGGTCTTCCTCACAACACCCTGCAGGCCCTTGATACCGGCCATGCGGATCCTGGGAGGCGACAGAAATAGAAGATCGGAAATCAGAATCTTTAAATGGATATGGTTATATTTAGCAAATGTTTTTTCCTCTGTTCTTTACAGCTCAGTGTTGCCTGTTGATCTTCCATTTAGCAGCACTATATTTAACTGTTCAAAGACGGCCTTTCATCTATTTTCGTCAGACGTCATCAATTATAATCATTTCAGTTTTGACAGATGTGTCCAGTGGTCTATAAAAGAAGACCTTCTGAAGCAGTCTAAAAACAGAAAGTCCTTAATAATTCTGCCTCTGGTGCAATCAAGCATCTGTCCACTCACTTGGTGCGGACGTCCGGGTCCTCGAAACTAGAGTGGCACATCTCGCTGAAGCGAGACACAAAGAAGTCGTAACTGCGGTGGTATGATGGCGTATCCTCTTCTATGTTGGCAAACTTCACAAACTGAGAAAAAAAAAAAGGCATTTCCACATCAAACTAAAACTCCCAACAACTCACACAGCATTTACAGTGATTCTCCTTTAAAAGCCTCTTTAAAGGTACTAATATAGTATCTGAGTCTCTCACTGAATAAAGTGAAACCACAGAGTCATAACATCTCATTGAAGGTGAAAGGCTAGTGGGGGGGGGGGGGGTTGGGGGGGTTGGCCGGGTTCTCCCTTGGTGGAGAGAATGTCACAATTTTATCACATTGACATTTAGCTTCACCAACACTCCAAATAATAAAATTATAAACTGGATTTCTTTAAAGATGCAACCTGAAGCGAGAATACCATAAAACAAACAGCAGCAGTTATTAAAGTACATCCATTCGTTCCACGTTCAGAAATACACGCTGCATTAGCGCAGTAACAATAAAAGCAATAGCTTCATCTCTGTAGCAAATCAACATCCACAGAAGCCCCTCCTCTATCAATTTGCTGTTTACTAAATTAATCTTGAAAAGAATGAAAAGAAGCCCGCAGCTTCTAGGACCTAGAATCTGATCCGGGTCTTAATGCATCAGCTCCGTTCCTGCAGAAATGGTTTCTCTCTCTCTTTCTCTCATATCGGAAGCTTTGGGAACATCGTTTAACCTTCAGGACAGATAAGACCACAAACATTTTTGTTGCGACCGAAACAAAGCGGCACCCCATGAGAAACTAACCGCTGCCCCGAGCTACAGCTTTGGCTCGCACAGGTATATCTCCACACGCGAGATGAGAGTATTGATCAATTACAGCACAGCTAACCACAATCAATATCTTCACAAAAGGCACCCTGAATGAAAAACTTCAAATTAAGTGCAAAACTCTTCCACCATGGATGGCGATAAATAGCGCTGTGACATGAATGGGTCGGTATATAAGGGGCTCGTGGAAGGGAGACTGGCAGCGCGGAGATTTCGAGCGAGAGGCCGGCGTGACGCGTCAATCTGTGCACAGCGGCAAAGCTTCGCCACTGCGGTCTGCAGCTAATCGCATTTCCACTCAGAGGACACTCATCCCCACCACTGGCCCTGCAGGGATCATTCCCCAAATTGCATCTTTGAACATATTTATGGCTTTGCAAATGGATTTTGCTTATTAAATTTTTTTTTACAGCCAAACGTGTTTGAAACTGTACACAACTACATCAAACTCACAGAGTTGGTTCCGAGGATCTGCAGGTTGGGCTTGTCCGACTCCAGAAGCTTGCGCACCATCTTGAGGAAACTCTCCACAAACAGGTTGATGCTCTGACAGTGGCAGGCCATCAGCAGCTGGTCCAGTGCCTCCATGGCGATGCACACATACCTGAACAGGACGGGAAACAGACACAGAAACATCTGGATGACCCAATCAACCCAACGTTTTGCATATCACTTTGGCATAGTAACAGAGGTGCATATTCTGAATGTCCAACTGCACATAGCAACAGTTTATATGGAAATTCACAAATTGAACAGATTTCAGCCACACAAGTGCAAATATAATCTGTGCAGGCTGTTTGCCTCGGTGAGAGTCATCACAGAGCGTCCTCGGCGTGAGTCATAAAAACAACAACTTGTGTGGCATATAAAGTCAGTACAGATTGTACAGAAACCCTTTAATAACCCCGGTGTGAGTGCAATGGCATGAAAACAGTTGCATGTTGGACAAGTGAGACGTGCATCCTTTCAGACAGGTGTTTAAACCAGCATCTCTTTGATGGGCTGTAACGTCGAGGCCTATTTCACGCACCATCTTCCCTATTGCTTTCATGTGGGCCAGAAGGTAAATAATAAATAGAATGTGCCAACAGTATTCTTTCTTTTTTTTTTTTTTTTTTAGGGCAGAGACAGTTGGGAATGTTGCTGCTGACCCGTATCGGTGTCGGGCCACGTCCCTCGACAGCCTCTCAGACAGGTAGGCGCCGATACGGTCCAGCTTCTCCGGAGCCGACAGGGCGTAGAATGTCAGCTTCTCCATGTTGGCCTTCACCAGCCCATCCTAGGAGGGTGACGCAGGGAGAAGGAAAAAAAACAAAAAAACACTTCAGGGTCCCATTTGCATGGCTCACAAACCCAAAAGGATGAATAGGACCAGAACTAAAAGACCAAGGCAGTCCTACTCTCAGGTAAGAGGCGGTGTACGTGGATCTGGGATTTCATCTCAACAAAGAAACAGCTGATTAAGGTGAAAGCAGCAGTTTGCTTTCCCTGAGGAAACCACTGCTGATCCATTAGGGTTAGGAGTGTGCTTCTCCTCAAAACCCAAATTGAAGAAGTTTAACTGGTTCACAAAGTTTCACCACCTACTTTCCCCCCTTGACCCACTTCAGTCTGGTCAGGGAGAGGAGAGAGGGGGCAAAGCGCCTCTAAGCCCGTCGGGATCCTGTTTATATTCAGCCAAACGCCGAAAGGACACCAGGACCGATGAGCGCGGTTAACTCTGTAAATAAGGTTACGGTTGGATTGGAGAAGACTGTGGCATGATGAAGACATTAGGACTGGCATTGGTCCACTCCATGCATCCTGGAGGAACATAGACATGCAATGCAAATGACTGACCGGCAGAGCACCATTCATCATTTAGAAAAAAAAGCCCAGAGAGAAAAAAACAGCAGTTTTATTTTATTTTCTTAGGCGTGTTAGAAAGAAACATCAGCTGGGAATATGTCAGGAACAACCACATTTTGAGTAGTAGAACTGCACCTTTTCTATTTTTCTTCTATTTTAAGCTTGTTTTAATGATTCCATCAGGGTTTTTTTATATTTGCTTTGCTTTTGCCTCCTGTTTTGATGTTTCATGTGAAGCACTTTGCCTTGTTGAAATGCGCTCTACAAATAAACCTGCCTTGCTTAGTGAAAGAATAAGTGTTAATAATTACAGTCACAATGACTGACAGCGGGCGAGCACGTGCAATACCAGGACTGTGAACTGAAGACCCCAAACTGTGTTTTTATATATATTTTATACGTAGCATCGAATACCCTTTGTGCTTATTTAAGATACCGGGTCTGTCCCCGGTCGCTGGCCTATCGTGCACTCCGACTCACTGCCGTGACTTGCTGGCACACCCGAGTGAAACCCCGTCGATGTTATTAGCCGCACCTGCCCTTTCAGGTCGAGTCCTCCGCTGTGAAGCACGGGGCGACGGCTGCGCTTGCTTCTCTGAAAACAACCCGTGGCTTGAATACGTCGCAGAGAACGGAGCCAAAGAAGAAGGCAGCTGGATATCAATCAACAACCTTTAGAGGAATAGCTGACTTTGTGGGGGGTTTTGTTTTTCCAGAGTCAACAAACAAGCAGCAAAGGCTTTTCATAGTTTTTTTTCAGTGTTGGCAAGTGAATCGAGTAATGCGCGCTAATGTGGGGCCATTTTGGCGTTTGCGCCTGATAACACGCATGGAAAAGAAGCCAAGCGCCTCGCCACCAATTGTCCGGGAGAAGTGCGGAAACAAAGATACTGTACAACGGACAGTGTGGCGCGACTTTGATTAAATGTTATGGGGCGGCTCCATTATTCCCCTGCTGCTGGGATGCTGGGAGGACACACACACACACACACACACACACGGAAACGAGCTTGTAAACCGCAGACTGGGCCACGGATGTGAGCGTTAAAGTGGGTTACTGCCGAAGGAAAGAGGCACTTAAAAGTTTCCTCTGCAACAAATCACCTCATTTCTTATAGTTCTTTCTCGTCTGGATCAGACCTCGAAAAGGAGCAAAGATGAGGGTTTGTGGTTTTGAAATGGATGGCGGAGTATGGAGGCTACGCAGCGTTTTCTTATCTCCTTTAGCTAAAACAATATCTGTGTTTTTATTCATTTTCCAGGGACTACTGACAGAAAGCTTAATCAGATACAGCAGATACAATAAGCTTTTTTGTGTTGTAACCTTAACTGAGTGCTGCAGCGAGGTAGAATTAAGTGAGCTGCCATCGACAAAAAGACATTTCGGATTTCTCCTTGCATTATAATATTTATTACGTTTTTTACCTTATTACAGGCATCTGACTGAAAAAGAAATGAACCAGATGTAGAAACATACAGAGACAATAAACACTCCTGTTTGCGTTGAAAAAGGCATCATTAAAGAAGCATTTCTCACCTCTGGGTCTTCTGGGAAGATGTTGTCTACCAGTCTCTTGTACCGAGGCCTGAGCGCCCCGCAACAACCACAAACCCCTGAGGAAGACGAGAGGCAGGGAGGAAGGCAGACAGAGACGGACAGTTAGTCAGTTAGAGATGTACCTGAAACAAAGAGCGCTCTTCACCAGGCCTTCTCCGCAATGCCACTATTCACCATTTATTCATAAGTAACTGGAAAAAAAACTAAAAAGTAGTAATGTAGGTCTAAAATCAGCCTCTTGTTCCAAAGGGCCAGCAGGTAGTTACTGACACTTATCAGTGACTATTAATGACTCCACATTAAAAAGCATACTGCATCACAAAAAAGGATTTGGTGGGTAATGATGAAAGGCAGGTCGTCGCAGAGCGTGAACCACAGAATAAATGAAAAACAAAAAACATGTGTTCCTGTGACAACATGCACCAAATATGAACACTGATCTCAGAATTAACATTGGGGTCTTATCCAAGTGACAGAAGTCGTTTATCCTATTCTAAGCTTTAAAATGGTCGGCTGCTGAATAGGGAGAGACCCGATGGACTAGACCATCCATCCACAGCTCAGAGTCATGTGGCACCCAGCAAGAATACAAAAGTCACCAAATGTAGAATTTAAATTGGGCAAACAGTGTCGGGTCGTGATGCCGTCAGTCAAACTACTGGGTCCAAGATTAAAAACGTCATACGGGGAAAAAAAGAGAAGGTAATACTGTGAGAAGTCACTTTAAGAGACTGAGAAATGTCCGATCTGGAAAGAATGTGGACACAAGATAAGACTCAGATGATAATAACCCCCCTCCCGCTCTCTCTCTCTCTCTCTCTCTCAATGCAACTAAGAGCCTTGAACAGAACAGTGCAGCACGCTGAAGATTGATTTCTCTGACTTTGCATTGAGGAGAAAGGCAAGCTAGGCAGCAAAGACAGGGCTGGATTGTGATTGGTTGAAGAAATTCAGCAGTGCTGAGTCATAACGGGACCAAAGAAGGAGGGAAAAAAAAAAAAAAGAAAAAGGGGGGAGATAACCTCCAAAAACACAAAATGCATCATTTAACCATTTATGCCCATTGCATAAGACCCATCATCTCCCCGGATTTATGAACAGTGGTCACGGAGGACGATGACAGAAAGTAGGTCATTCTGCTGGAAGCAAAGCAGTCGCTTTTAATGACTGCTTTGATAACCTGACACTTCAAACAGAGACGGTACAAAACAATCTACTACTTCCCTTCCTCCCCAGTTATCCCTCCTCCCTTTATTCTCCCGAAAGAATGATGTTTCATTATTCATTTTCGTATTGTGCCCGGTGCACCGATTGAAGCATTTCTAGCAGACGTGGCACCTAAACCCATTCTGAGTGCACGCTGACCAGATATTAAGAAAAAGTTGCCAGACGCACCCCCCCTCTCACAGCACACTGTATACAGCATGCAGTAGAGCAGCCCGGACACACAAAGACCACGTATTCCATTCTAAATGTACATAAATGTGCGTGCACTTCAGTGTAAACAACTCAATCAATGAAACCAACAAAGCCGGGGGAAAAGCCTCGCGATCCACTGGGTTCACACAGCGAGACCCTCGGCGTCGCAGAGCGATTACATCGCCCCAAACCGGCTGTCTGCCGAGCTGCACTTCCGCCAAACTAAAATCAGAAAAATCAATGCTGAACGAACCAACTGTGCACATATCACACAGATGGAGGCAATAAGCTCCGGCTGTAACACCCCTTTGCCACACAATTGATTTCCATGTGATGGACAAATGCACTATACGGAAGAAAAGTAGAACTAATTCAGACCAGGAACACTTGAAATAAAGTACGGATGATAAAACAAACACACAGAAATAAATAGGTTCCATGCCATACGTAATTATTCCAAAATGCAGGACGGTGTGGCTTTAAAAGCATATTGGTACTGTGTGTGTGGAGACCATCTTTTACACCAGAGCGCTGGAGCTCTGAAGGCATTAAAGATTCAAAGGCTGCCTTAAATTAGAGCTTTCATCTCAAGGTTTCTCCCTGCCAGGTTGGAATCTCATTCTCACACACACTCACTCACTGACGGCAGCGAGCTACCATGCTGGGCGCCACGAGTTTGGAGTTCAACGTGCTGCCCGAGCACACTGGACCTGTTGGGCCGGAGGATGGAATCCACCCAGACCCGCTGCACCCACCGTCCCCTCTGTCGGGTGCCTATTCATAGTGCCGCCCCACGCTCTCCTCCATCACATCGGAACACTAACGAGGCCGCTCCCCCTTCCTCCATCCACGTTGTCCCTTCCTTGCTGCACCCACCAAACCTCCCTCCACCACCACCTTCTCCCACCAGAGCGTAGGAGACGGCAGAGGAATTAATAAAAATGCTGCAGGTCCCCGCAGTAGGGAAAGGGTTGAGGACAAAAAGAGTGACAGAGACAAGAAAAAAGATGGATGTGTGACGGGGGAGGTGGATTGTGATGCACCGAATGAGTCACAGATTAGCGCTACTTATTGCATCTTCTCTGTCCAGCACAAATCTGTCCCGTCCTCTCCGTCAGCACTGAATTAGGGAGAAGAGAATACGGAGATTGCATGTACTTTGGATATTTATTAATATTTATATTTTTTTTTTTGTTTAATTTATTTATGATTTACACACAAGGAAATGTGGTAATGATATTGTGCCATAAAGGTTACCGAAACATTTGAACTGGTCAATGCAGCTCAGTGTAGCAATTAACGTGTTATTTCATGCTGATTGCAATAAAAGAACATTTGCATTTTAACTGCAAACATGAGCAGTTTTCAGAGAAATAAAAGCTTCTGTCACTTTAAGACAGAAGAGTAGATTTTGCTTTTTCAGAGGTTCGACATTGACGTCGCTCAGACGTACAATAAATGATTATTGCCGCTATCAATAAATCTACAACAGTTGTCCTGATTTCAAACAGTGGTGAAACCTGTGACATCTCAAACTGCAGTAGCTCCAGAGTCCCAAAACGAAGATGTTCAGAAAAGGCAGAGGAGCTTTTCTGGCTGCACTTTAGCTTTATACAAATTGTATGAATCAGCTCTGAAAATGCAACTGCAATCGTTTCCCCCCATTCATTAACATTTGCTCCTAACAAGCTTCGAAATGTGGCGCGACACCACGTTCCTCTCGGAAATGACTCCGGCTGCCTCACTGGCCCCCCTTCGCCGCTCCCCCCCAAGAGAACACCGGGAAGCTTCACAGCTGTGCTGAGTTTGTGTGATAAAACCAAAGCGGGTTGCTAAGTGTTTTTGGTAGATAATGGTGGGTTAGTGAGAAAACGGCGCGGCCACTTTTACAAACCCGGGGGAGTGGCGGCGGTTATTACATAAGGAGAGAAGAGGCGGACCAAGTTCTGCTGCTTGCTACTTTCACCTCCCGTGAAACCATCAAAAAAAAAAAAAAGAAACAGACAACAGGCGAAGAGATTGGAGCTGCGAGCCAATCTGCACGTCAGCCGCCGCTCGGTGAGTTTGGGGAGGTCAGCGGCTGAGGAGACGAGTGTTTGGGGAAAGCGTGACGAAGAGGAGCCAATGGCTCGGCTACTCAAGTGTGTCGCATATGTAACCACCACATCAATCAACGCCCCCCCCCCCCCTCCTCCTCCTCCTCTTCTCTAGCTCTCTGTCACGATGAGCACGATCTTTCCCCCGAAAACTCAACGCACACACTTTGCAGGAGGAATGCGTGTACGGCTTCTTATGAATTGTCGTGAAAGTCAGACTTGGAATCGCAGCCGCCGAGACTGGGCTTACGAGGAACTGCAGAAGCGTCTCCAGACCGCGGTGAGAGCCGAGTAACGTATTTTTTTCAAGTGTGCCCCCCCCCCCCCCCCACCAACAGACTGCAAACTCAAAGCAAAGCGGACCCATTTGAATTAGTGCTGAACCATTTATCAACGTGTCCTGGTGACGGCAAAGACCAAACAGGGGGGGGGGGGGGGTGAGGGTGGAGGGGGGTCTCAAAGTTTGACAGAGAAGCCCCTCCTGGAAATAGCGCATAGACCCGGTTTCCTGTTTCCCCCAGACACCGATTAACATCAAATACTGGAAGATCAGAAGAAAATAAAAGGGGATTACGAGAGAATAAAAACACCTACACAGCCCGAGTCAGAGAACAGACTGAACGCGTTGCCGAGTGCAGAGAACAGAATGTCACCACCTCAAACTACCGGGAGTCACAATTACCGAAAATAAACATCCTCATAGCGGCGTCTCCTCTTCGGCCGATTTAACGGGGCACCGCGTTCCCCGGGGGATCCCACGACGTTGCACCGTAGAACCCACTGCGGTGTGCCAGCTACGAGGAAACGCGTGTTATGGGTGGTGGAGGAGGGGGGGGGGAATGTCGGGAAACCGGTCGGATGCTCCGGATTACGCGCACGAGCTCCCGAACGCGCGGCGGACGCGGTGGTTTGGAAATTCTTACCGTACATCGATCGTGATGTTGGAGTCCCGCACTACAGACGCGCGTGTCCTCCTGAAGCTGCTCCAGTCATACAGAGACACCGCTGTGCCAAGAGGCACCGAGGACGCACGCAAAAACGCGCGCGCGCGCACACTCACTCTGGTACAAATGCCTGCACGTGTGCGCTTGGAGCTAAAATGCGCACCGTGATTGGTGCAGCGCCTGGCTCGATGCGCTGAATTACGCACTCTCTCTCACACACACACACACACACACACACACACAGACACGCGCACACAGAGGAATGCGCGCACACTTTGACGACAGGGGGCAGAGCGGCAGCGTCACAAGGAAAGCGTGCCGTGGTGACCTTGGGTTTTCTTTCACACGCCGGCGCACGAACACGCCCACCTCGTTTCCAATCTTTTTTTTTTCTCTCAGTCGCTGAGAAAGAAACAGTGGGGGGGGGGGGTCGAGACGGGAGAAGACCTCCCTCCCACCCACGCGATCTCCCACTCCTCCTCACTCCACCGCGCGGCACCGCTCTCCTCCCTCAGTGGTCTTTCTAAGCCCCCCTTTTTTATACACCTACAGTTCTTCCGTTCCGTGCTAACGCCACGTTCTACCACATCACCCCCCCACGGACGCGAGATTACATGATTGGCTCTAACGCACGACCATTGGTCAGCTGGACCGGAAACCTGCTGATGCTGCGGTGTCATTGCTTGAGTGGCTTGAAATAAAAAGCACACAAAGTCAGCGTTTCCTTTTGGTTCACGTATTGTCGTTCTTGCGACCCCAGAGTGATTGCATGAATCCTCCAGACTCATCGTTTAAAAAAAAACAAAAAACAAGAGGGGTGGGGGGTGGGGGTCTTAGGTGGAACCATCTAGGACGGAACTTGATTGCTCGGTGCGAGTTGCCTAATGAAGCTCGGGTTTGCAAATCACCAAAAGTACTCGGCTGTCTCTGATTGGTCAGGGAGAGAACGTGGGGGATTACATCAGGATGGGTTCATTCGGTTAAAGATGGCGGTGACTGGAATAACAAGGATCTTGTGTGATATCGCATTGCTTGAATAACCATCGTAATCCTTTACACTCTAGCCTCGTTTTCCTTGTTCTCCGATGCCGGATATTCAATATCTGCAATATTCCCCGTGGATTATTCAGCAGGTCTTTCGAATGCAAAAGCGGGCATTCCTCGTACTGAGTGGAGAGCATTTATGACCTATGAAATCTGTAAACAAAAGCTGAAAATGAATTTGAATTTCCTTCAAATGGGTCCCCCTTTTTGCAGCCGGGAGCCAGGTACCAATCACAGCCAGCGTTTCTTTTCTAGTGCTCAACCATCCTCGACAAACTACCAAATACGCTAAATAAATTCCACAAGATAGCCAGTCAAGCGGTTATTTCCTTTTCGCGACCGGATGCGTTTTTAAAACCCTGTGGAGGAAAAGCAACTGTTCCCGTGGAATGATCCTCTGTTCAGAGACGGAGGAAGCAGAACAGAGGAGGCGGTGTTGTCGCTTACCCTTGCCAATGCGATGGTCCAGGAGGGTACGACAATCCAGTGCCAGCCTCTGAGAGGCCGGGACATCGGGCGCGGGCAGGGGCATGGCAGGCCAACAAACACACTGTTCCTTTTATAGGAACAGAAATACTCCCAACAAAAAAGGCCAAAAAAAACAAACCGGCAACCAATAAACAAAAAAAATTCTATGAATAATTTTTAAAAGTACCAATGCTGACCAAACTGGAATCCCTTGCTAGATGAGCTAAATGCCAGATATATCAACCACGAGTCCCCGAGATGGTTGCGATCGACATTAAGACGCAAATCTCACACCTCCTTAGTCAAGCCGTCAAACAGAGACGTTTTTTTAAGTTTCACACTGGAAAAAAAACTACCAAATCCTTTGAGTCCTTCTCTGAACACCAGCTTGCGCGTCCCCGTCTTGAGGCTCCTTTGTAATATATATTAGTACATAGGCAGATTGGACGTATTAACAAAGGGATTAGCGATTAGTCCTTCAACAGCAGCTCTGCTCACTGCGTGCGCCTCGCTCATCAGAAAACTTCTCACTAACACAATAGACCCTTACTATGCACCCAACTTCTCCCTCTATGGGCGAGAGAGCCATGGGAGACACTGGAGGGGGGGGGGGTTGAGGGAGAGAGAGAGAGCGTGGGACAGCCATTCAGTCAGTGGGTTTGAGGTTCAAGGAATGCGGCAATCAGCAGATACAGACGAAAGGCAAAATGTCTGGTGAGAGAATTCTGTGCGGTCGCACACGGAAACACACGCGCACAAGTGTCACAAAAATAAGTTACCTTTTCAAATGATCCACTTTGAAGTTTGGGAGTGGCTCAAAATAGCCTTAATTTTCTCCTGCAGTGTGCTGTATCAAACTTTTATATTACATTACATGTCATTTAGCTGACCCTTTTATCCAAAGCGACTTACAATAAGTGCATTTCAACCATTGGGAAATTCCTGGTATGTCTGACATATTTTGGCAATAAATGTTTCCTGATCCTGAGGGATACAAACTCAGAAGAGCAAGAACCAAGATTACAATTTAAAATTTGCTATAGATAAGTGGCGTTATAAGTACAATTTAAGTGCTACAATTAGTTAGTCTTTTAGTCGAGGTAGAGTCTGACGAGGTGTGTCTTTAGTTTAGCGGCGGAAGGTGTGAAGGCTCTCTGCGGTCCTCGTGTCTTCAGAGACCTCGTTCCACCATTTCGCAGCCAGAGTCGTGATCTAGTCGAGTGTTTTGCGCTCAGTGAGGGAGGAACACGCAGTTTTGCAGATGGGGAGAGCGCCTTGTAATAACGCCTTCAGACAGGTGTTTAGTAGTCAGGGGTCGCTCACCCGTCATGCTGGACCCTTGCCACTAGGGGGCGTCGTTCTTCCAGGTTCACACGGGCAGGAAGACGAGTGGCACTTCAGGCACCAAGTCGTCTCCAGCGGCGATGCAAAATTCAGGAAAACCGCTGGATTGTCTTTGGCCTGTGGGCAATTTCAGAAGATTAGCCGATTGCATGTTTTTTTTTTTATATTTAGACACCAATTTCAACCTTTCAATATACGAGGAGTTTCGTCACCTGACCCGTGGCAAAATAATGCAACGTCAATGCACAATTGTTATTCAGCGAGGACAGAAATCCCAAAGCATGACAGTTCCCAGTAAACTAAATCAACGCTAACGTTAGCAATGCTAGCTAGCTATTAAAGGTTTTAATCTAACGGTAAACTGTCCTTTCGTGTTAGTTTAACATGTCAGGTGATGCTTTACTCCCCGCCCCTGTTTTCGATTAGGTTTAGGCATAAACTCCCGGCTAACGTAAACTAATTATTCAGAGCTAACAGCTCGTTAGCTTTCCTCTATGCTAGTAGCAAAGTATGCTAACGTTAACTAATTATCCAGAGCTAGCTGTCGTCTATGCTAGTAGCAAAGTATGCTAACGTTAACTAATCATCCAGAGCTAGCTCTCGTCTATGCTAGTAGCAACACCTGCTAACGGTACATGGCTAACTCACTTCCTTTTCTTAACGAGAACCCCGCTGTGCTGAACCACGTAGATCGGCGTCGAATCACCTTACTCACCATGAAGTGGACACAATTAAAATCCTTAAAATGCGTGTTACAGCCAACGTTCAGCTCCCTTGACTAAAGTTCATCTGTTGCGGCAGCCCGGGGACCCATAGAAGCGTTACGGTCCCTCCAGCTGACAGGCGATGCTAACAGCCACTCAGTAGCAGCACCGGGTCTTTTGTTTTTATTGGCAAATAAAATGCTTTAATATTCTGTCATTATGCGGTTGCTGTCCTCGTTATAACTGAACCGAATTACAGTGAATAATCTATTATTCAAATAAGCAACACGTTGAAAAAGTCAACAAAACACGATTATGCGATGTGTACACATATGTGTATTAGATATATTAATTTCAAGGTACAGCTGTATATTGTTTGTCATGGACAACATGCTTTTGTTCATTCGGACCTTTTCTAGACGTCAAAACCCATATTCGTTTTTACACTCCCAGATCATATCCTAATTTAAGCAAACCTTTGCAGACTCCAGACACCCAAAAGTGATGCAGGAATCAATGCAAATTAAATATTGCTGATTCCAAAAGGCAATTCAGCTGTAATAGCTAACAACATGAAACATATTTAAAATCAGTAGTCTGTAGCCTTTATGTCAGGATGGGACATCCCGCTTCAGGAAGACTTTGTTTCTACCACTTGGTGACAGTAATGAGTCAGGAGAATCTGATATATAGTTGTCAATTTACTGTTTTAATGGAGGTCATATGAAATGACCTAAAACCCAAACATTTCGAAGGTCATTCAATCTTAATTGGTGTACATGACATGTCACCTTTGCAGTTTACAGCACAACTCGGCCTCCAAGGCGGTCCAAGTGTCATCTTATCCGCAAACATTTTAAAGTCTAAATTTAGAAACATCTTGAATTGCTCATCGTGAACATGATGCTATGTCACATCGGAATAATCTAATTGTTTCTTGTAACAGTGCTATCTCATCAAACATATTCAAACGTGCTTTCTTTCGTGCGAACCGTCCAAGCCTAATCGAGGTGTGTTGATGTGCGTTATGTGTTATTGCACCACATAACTAGTTGCCTTAGACCTGGTGACCTATTTTAGATGTACAGTAATCAGCGAGAATGGTCTGAGTTACGCAATCGTGGTTTGACAGATGGTGGCTCATTAGATCAGCCTTAAGGTCCTCGACCAAATTAGCAAAGCCAGTTTAAAAATCTTTAAACAGCTTACAACCGTAGGTTGATAGACTATAGCCTGTGCTCTTTATCATCAGCTGTGAGGTTTGTTTGTCTTTTCCAACACACCTGTTACTTGTTCTTCATATTTTCATTTCTGGTTACTTTGAGTATGTTGTTCAGCGTAATTTATCGCCGTGTTGCGGCTCTGCCATGTTTGAAACGGCAAACAAGAGAATGCCGTTACTAGGTCAGTACTTAACTGTACCAAGTGAATCTGAATGGAATCATCCATTGCATTTGTTGAAGGTAAACTTATGGGATGCAATAACAACTCGGAATCAACACAACAAAAAGGCAAGAAAAATGTACACCACAAAATGCTGATACAATACAATACAATACCTAATGCCTCGAGATTATCGGAACATTTGTGCATTGTTTACACATGTTAGTTCTCGCTAACATTAACCAGCCTGATATACTGTACGCTTCTTTTTTAGAGTGTTTTCTGAAAGCACGTGGAGAAAATATTCCATCAATCATCCACTGTCCAGCTAAAGTAATTGTTTTTGAATGGGAGAAGGTAGATATCGTCCAATTAATATCATATGTAGTACAGAGAGTTAACATCCGTAAGACCAGACACATAAGACACATGTCTGTCAAATAGCTTCAATTTGTCTTCAAATGGAACTTGTGTTAAGCCGCGCCAACGATATGGAAACAGCCTTTTTATAAGGTCTGGATTCAAATCAACATCCTCAGCTCCAGATTTTGGTGGTCTTCATCATATTAATATGTCACATTTGTTCCTTTAATAATATCCCAAAGCCCGCCGGTGTATAAAACCCAATAAAACATGTACGCATATATTCTTCTGTAATGTTGGTCAGTCACAAAGAAGCACCTGAAATGAGTTACTTTAGTACTTTAGTGAAGGCGGTTTTATTATCTTCTGTTTGCTGTTGAATCCCCCCAGGCTGCTGAAACCAGGTGGCGGATAATTCAGCGTCCTTCTGCCTGAGTTCCTAAGCTTTAAGGGGAATGTTTTTTATCTGTTCACCTTATGGCTCTATTGCACTTTAGAATACTGACATAACTAAGTCCGCAAAAGCAATAAGGGGACAGCAATTTAGCTTTCAATTCCAGTGATGCCGGCGTAATGAGAGTATAGGGTCAATGAAAAAGAAAGATGTGAAAAAGCACTGCTCTAAATGCTGTTTAATTTAAAAGGTCAGCACTGCTCTTAAACGATGTGGTCGACTCGGCCAAAGGTTGAGATTGTTGCATTTTTCATTCCGTCGCCTCGGTTCCAACGATCTCAGCTTTGCAGTGCAGTCAGAGTGTCTGCTGACTTACTAATCCTCTTTGCACTCCATCGCTCCTCCATCTCTGCTCGGTGGCCCGTCGCTGACTTCCTTTCAAAACAGTCGTGGCGATGACCCACAATCCAGCCGGAAGGTCGTGGGCGGATCTTTGTCCCCCCCCCTTTTCTCTGCTTTTGTTTGGAGTCTAAATCACAGTCAACTTTCATTTTCTCCTTTCATGGATTACGCCTTAATGTTCAGATTTGCGTGCAATTTATCTGCAATGGATCCGGCACAAGTGGAATATGACGGACTGGACGAATGTATCCCGCGGAAAATGCTGGACATGACGAGTGGATACACAAAATGTAAAAGAATACAGGTCAGTTGTGGCCACAAGCGTGATTGTGATATTGTTCTTTATACATCGAGTGTAACTGGAGATGCTGCCACATTAACGCATTCACTCACAAGGTGAATATTTTTAGATGCTCTGATGGGAAGTTTTTCATCATATCCCGTCTGAGACGACCGGGTGGCTGACGGAGGACTGCGAGTCGTTGGGACAGCAGCTTTTAGACCCAGACGGACGGGGAGAAGCTGAACTGCATCAGCCAGCAGAGTTCTAAATCTAATCTAAATCTGTCCACCGGATGATTCGTTGGTGATCTGCCTTTCTCCTGGCACACGCCGCATCAACACATGCAGGCAACCAGGTGGCTCTTCCCAACAAGCTGAACGTGTGCAGCATAAACCGCTTCTGTCCACATAATCATCATTTGCTGATGACTATGTGTTTGTGTGCTTAAACCCTTTTAAGGAAAGCGAGAAAAGAGCCATGAAGTCGGTCAAAACAATTATCTTTTGCACACTGGCAAAATAGTGAAGATTCAAATTATGGTATTTAGCTCGATTTAGCAAATGATGTGTTTTTACTTTTTTTTTTTTTTTTAGAATCCAGATTCAAAAATCGTAAAATTGAAAAGATTATAGAAATCAGCTTAGCTTGAGATGTCCTCACTTTGCTTCGTCCTCCAGATACCCCGGATCCTACATTTCCCAAAGTGCAACTCGAAAGCTGATGATTCATTAGAACACCCACATCCTTCTAACCTGAACCCTCCAGTGGGTGAAACGTTTAGGTATAAATGTGCCTCCAAACTCAGCCTTAGATAATCCTGATGACATCCTTATGACATCATCAGGGTTACAAAGACAAAGCTTCTCCAAAGTCACAGAAGACGTTATGTGGATATTTTGCACATCCTGAGACGTACATTAAAGCGTCCTTTTGAGAATGACCACGTTAATATTGTGAGAAAAGCAAATCTGACATCTTTTCTTTTCTTTTTTTTTCTCCCACCATCAACGTGTGGCACAGCTCTCGCTCCAGGCTGCTGCCTCCTCCTGATCCGACACCAACAAATGAGGTTAGCTGAGGTCGTCGCCATGGTGACCTTCTCTGAGACGACACAGGTCTCCCCCATGGAGCTGCGGGAGCCGCCCTGCGTGGCCGCGAGCCTGTCCCCCGGCCTGAGGCGGAAAAAGAGGCTCTGGCAGAACGCTGTAAAACACATCATGATCCAGCAGGAGCTCAGTGCCCAGGTGATCCATCATCCCCGCTGACATCGGCAGATTTGTTGCACAGATTTGTGGAACTGGAATTATCGCTGCCAGGTGTAAGCCTGGGGAGAGGTTGTGTGATCGGTGATGTGTGACCGTGTGAGTCGGTGCCTCCGTGACCGAGTGAGAGTCCAACTCTGTGTTTGTCCTCTCTTGATAGTGGCAGACACATCTGGCAGACACATCTGCAATCAAATGCACCTTAATAGTTTCTATTCTTTTGTTTTCTATTTTTTTTTACATATTTCCTATAATATTATCCATTTTCTTGGGTTGTTATTTCTCTGGCATGGAAGCTTAAATCAGACAGAATGAACGTGTCTCAAGATCTGAATAAATAAACATTACACTCTCTGCATGGGTACGCTCCAAAAGCAAAGTTCAGTGATGATTGTTAGCTAACTGGTTTGCTTTCCACCATAAAGCCATTTCCCGACCAACCTAAATATCATTTAAACAAACGGTATGAGGATCAGTAAAGAGATGTCTGTGTTTGACAGGTGGGTGTGGAGCCAGCGAGCAAAATCTTCGTGACGGACACCTACATGGAGGAGATCAACAGGCAAATCCGCAACAAGGCGTCCCGCGGGGTCACGAAGCGCCGCTCGTCTACGCTCAGAGTGCAGCCTCCCCAGTCCCGCTCCTCCACCAGCACCCATCAGAGTGCCCGGGGTTCTTTGCACGAGTACGCCAGCGATGCCGACTTCTTCGTGGACTGGGGCCACACTGTTCGTGGAGTGTACATACCCAGCCTGAGGCACACCTTTAAGTCTCGTGATTTGGAGAAACTCTACCAGCAACACTACTCATGCCAAAGACGGAACTCTCTAGCCATCAGTAATATAATCGATACCTTGGCCAAGTTGCACATATTGGTCCTGTACCTTGCAATGGTGCCCGAGGCGGTCACAGACACTGTGCGAGGCTGCCTGACGGGCCTTTTCATGGTGCTAGCGGTGGCGCTGTGCATCGTGGTGTTGACCTGGAAAGATTCCATGTCCCCGCGGCAGCTTCACTACGCTAGCCTTGCCTGCTGGTTGTCGCAGACCACGCAGGTACTGGGAGGACTGGCCTATGGACTGGAGGAAGACCCGACATGGTACGTGTTGTTTGCGTTGTTCGCCACATACACGCTGCTGCCGCTGCCTCTGCTGTGGGCCATGTGCGCCGGCACCACCACCTCGGTGCTGCACCTGCTGGTGGAGATCCTGAGCTGCTACGATGACGCCGTGCTTTTGAGAAAGGTAGCATCAATAGCATTATTGTATTAATAACTGGACTATATTTTAACATCTGATATAGATCATATTCATCAGACCCTGAGGAACTAGAAGAACCTGCACTTTATAAAGATGATATGTCTGTCTATGAACCCATTTCTCGGACATGCCCATATTTTAAAGCTCTCGAGTGTACCGGCCTCTTTTGCACAGAAAGCCACGTTTATCCATTTAATCTTACTGAACTTGCATGTTCTATTTCCATTAAGGGAAACAACGTTCTAGGTTGTTTGTAATTATTACTCCCATTTACAGCCCCAGATGTTACCTACAAGCACGCAAATTACATTTCCCCCTGAAGTCCCTCAAGTTAATTAAAAGAAGTAGACCCCAGTTATTATTTAATTTCCTCTTCTTACCCCACACGCAACGGGGTGAGATGAATTTCATGAACGCCAAATGCCCCTCGGATGCAGGTGTTTGCCAAAGGCCTGCTGTACCTTGGAATGAACACAGCCGGCTTGTTCATCCACTACCTGACAGACCACGCCCAAAGACAAGTCTTCCTGGAGACGCGACGCTGCATTGAGGGTCGCCTCAAACTCGAGCAGGAGAACCAGAGACAGGTCCAGTGACGGCCATGGGTTGGACTATAAGGCATATGGAGGAATATGCTTAATGTGTTAAACCATACACAGTCAAATAAGTGAGTTTTTTGTCGTTGTTGCCACATAGGAGCGTCTGGTGCTGTCGATCCTGCCTCGTTTTGTTGCCTTGGAGATGATTGGTGACATGATCTCTTTAGAAGATGAACTTAACCCTCAAGAGTTGCACAAGATCTACATCCACCAGTACAAAGACGTCAGGTACGCACACAACTATACACATACTTATCTTATTAGTGGCACCAAAAAACCCCAACAAGATTTGCTGTTACAATTTCTATGTGTGTTTGTATTCTTTTCTCTTTCTCTCGTCTTTGCAGCATTCTTTTTGCAGACATCAAGGGCTTCACCTTGTTGTCCATGAACCTGTCGGCCCAGGACCTGGTCCGAACCTTAAACGAGCTCTTTGGACGCTTTGACCGACTCGCAGATGTGAGAACTCCAACTCATTTTTTAAGAAACAACATATATTTCCTATTCTATTAACATCTTCTTTTGTCTTTTCCCTGGTACCTGGAACCTTTAACATCACAGGAGCACCACTGCCTGCGGATAAAGATACTGGGAGACTGTTACTACTGCGTGTCAGGGGTCCCTGAGCCACAGCGTGCCCACGCCCGCCATTGTGTTGAGTTGGGCCTGGACATGATCAACACCATTCAGTCAGTCTTAACTCACTGCAGTTCTTGTTTACTTCACCAATTCACCACTTAGGCAAAGAAAATGTACTAAAGCCGTCAATAATTAGTCCGACGTGTCGCTTTACTACCAAGGTATATGCGGAATCAGCTGAACTTTGACATGGACATGAGGATTGGGATCCACTCGGGCTCCGTCCTGTGTGGGGTGCTGGGCCTGCAGAAATGGCAGTTTGACGTCTGGTCCTGGGACGTGAGCATCGCCAACATGCTGGAAGCCGGAGGCATTCCAGGGTGAGAGACCATGCGATCTTTTCCTGGATTACCACAAAAACTGTTTAGAAAAGTTACTGTGAGGAACTTTAAAGACCATATAAAACTATTCAGTATGGATCTAAATGAGAAGATTGGCTGTTTTGGTTATAACTCAGCTCACACCCAGCCAACTGCAGACAGACACCGATTTTTGTCCAGTGGGACCACCAAAATCAACAATTAGAGTCTCTCGGTAGTACCTTCAATTCATGTAGATCCCACTGTTACATTCATCTCAGATTTGTTTGCCATGACAATGTGAAAGAATATGACCAAAATCAAAAAAACAAGGTACGGTAAGTGTTTGCATTGACCTTCTGGTCCCAGTTTATGACACGGATCCAAATCCCAAACACTCAAACATTGTAAACAGAGCAAAGTGTAACAACCCAAACTTGATAGTTGTCAGGCTGCAAAACTGTTTCCCTTTCCCTTCTTCTGTTCTCTCTCATCCAGACGCATCCACATCTCGAGGGCCACCCTGGACTGTCTAGAAGGCACCTACGAGACCGAAGCGGGTCGCGGCCGTGACAGGAACGAGTTCCTGCTCAGACACAACATTGACACCTTCCTCATCGTCCCTCAGGAGGAAAATAGAAAACGTTGTGGTGCCGAGCCCCCCAAAGTTCAGAAAACCAGTCAAAACTGGAACCCGAAGCTGCCTTTTGACAGAAACGCCATTGACCTGAACAGTGTAGGCGTTTGCCCAACCGCTTTGCGTCCGGCGAGCCCTCGCTACCTGATTAACCTCACACCGCTCTAATCTTTCTCTGCAGATCCTGGCCTCCTTTACGGACGGCTCTCTGGCCAGCATATGGCAGTCCACCTCCAAGGAGATCAACAAACGCATAAAACACGCCAACGAGGTTCAAAGCAGCCAGATTATGCACCGGGAGCACATCACCCCTCTGACCCTGGTGTTCAAAGACACGCACATCGAGGACAAGGTACACGTGCGCTGGTTTTGGTGCGGTGTTTGGCGGGAGGAAATAAACGAATGCTGTGATGTAATTGATGTTTTTCTTCGGTTTTACCAGTTCTCCCAGATGAGGGATGAAATGTTCAACTCCAACCTGGTCTGCTCCTTCATCATGTTCCTCTTTCTCATGGCTGCCCAGGCCCTAATTCCTGCACCAAGGTAGGGAGACACTACCGAAGAACACACATTTAGTCGTTTTACTGGAATGACAAAAACCCTGAGGTGAAATTAGCCATGTTTTTTTGTCTTTATATAAAGATAATGAGCAATATCAACGTTCAACTTCTTCTGACTAAATATTTCAGTTGTCATGAAAGTGTACTGCCCTGTTTGTCAGATGAGCAGGATTTTAAAAAGTTTCACTTTGTTGTTTTCTACGGCGTTGAAAGTGAAATCCCCACTTCACTGAAATGTATTTCACGCTCATCCTCTTGTCTTTTTCATTTTACCCCTGGATTATCTTTTACTTCCTTTCCCGCGTCTCTTCGTTCTCCTCTGCAGGCTGTTCCCCGCTGTCGTCCAGTTTTCCATCTTCCTGTTTGTCTACATGCTGCTGCTGCTGTTGGCCCTGGCTGAAGAGTTCATATCCACACCTTCGTCCCTGCAGGAAGTGTGCTGCTGGATCCACGAGAACAACAGCGCGCGCAGCCTCCTCACCCTCGCAGCCATCGTCATCAACTTTGGCCTGGTCTCTACGGACATGGTGAGAGGCTAAACAACACAGCGCCTGACTTTACACACACACTCTCCCGGCTACAGCTTTGCCTTTCTATAGCAAACTATATATAGTCACTATACCACCATGGAATGAAATCCCCAAAATACAATTCAGTATTTTGAAATGATAAATATGTTCCTGTTACTTTACTAGACTCCTTCTTTTAGTTTTTAGTTTTTTTTCATGTGAATATTTTGGGCCGTGTTCCTGTTTCCAGGTGTGGTGCATTCTTGCAGACACAGGGGGGGCCGACGCGACGGACAGAACCAACACAGCCCCGCTTCCACCCACCGCCTGCTCTTACCCGGAGGTAAAGAGGGCCGCACTTCAAATCTGCACTTAACAAAAGACAACAATAATGTCTGTCCACGTAAACATTTGGCCTTGTGTTGATTTAAACATGATCACCTTTTGCATCTGAGGTTTCTTACCCATAAAGACGGTGAGGACATCTAAATACTTTTCTCCTTCGCTGTCTTCAACCACTCACCCACAGGTCTTTATATTGAGTGGCGTAATCGCCATGGTGACTTGTGCCGTGTTCCTGCGTCTAAACTCTCTGCTGAAGCTGGCGGTGTTGCTGCTGGCGATGGCCGTCTACTCCTACCTCATCCACCTGGCCTTCCTCACGCTAACACGCCATGATACACTGCACAGGTCGCCGCGAAAAATACACCGGCCACCACTAGTTTGTTTTTTCTACTTTGGGTTTGATGTTTATAGTTATTTTGCTTAGGATCAAAAATGTCATAGTATTCAACTACTGCTATTTGGAGTGTGTTGGTTGTTGACTTTGTATATATTTACTTAAAATGCAGTAAAGTAGAATTATAAAAGTCTTAAAATTGAAGTCCCGATTTTTAAATATCACTTAAGGTACAAACGTTCATTTATACAACATTACATTATGCTTTTTATGTTGGGGTTTATCAATGTGGTGCAACTCTACATAAGTTGTATTCTACTAGGTAGATTAGTAGTAACATTTTCCATTTATTAGTATAAAATAAAAAAAGTATAAAATAAATGTAGTAGCAAGCATAATGTTACCATGCCATTATCATTACCATTATTATTTGATGATGTGCAGAATTTCCTAAACATATAATCTAGAATATATTATGTCAAAAAAGGTCATGAAAATAAATCCTTTGTTTTTTTAATCTTTATTATCCACCTTTCACCGGACATTTACTTCTGCTCAGATCTCACTATGTCAGGATAAAAGGAATCTCCATCATTCTCATGGCCATGTTTATTGTTGCTGTCTTCTACAATGGACGGCAGGTAATGTTGACGTTTCTCTGTGTTGAGCACCTGTTCAGTGTAGTTTCCTCGTCTTATTTGCAATGTATTTCCGCTGATTAAGTATTAAGTTGCACACAGGCAGGAGACTGAACGTTTTACCCATCATTTACTTCCCAGTGGGAGGCCACCGCCAGACTGGACTTCCTGTGGCGTCTACAGGCCCAACAGGAAGTGGAGGACATGAAAGAACTGCGGGAGCACAACGAGTGTCTTTTACACAACATCCTGCCGGTGCATGTGGCGCAACATTTTCTGGACCGGAGGAAGAATGATGAGGTGCAGAAAAGATGATCACTGCGTCAACCTCTTCCCACCCGAGCAGGAACAAAACATGAGGAAAACAAGTCTATATCCAAATGATATCTGTTTATTTAAATGTAAATGCCGATGGGACAGTTGTTAATCAATTTATCTGTTTTTAACATAGTGGTAAAGTACATATTTTTTCTTTTTTATTCCAAATTATTGTTTGAAAGGTGAGTCAAACTCCCTGTTTGGACTTTTTACGTTTTATTTCCCAAACATTAACACACATTTGTACATTTCATTGTCCTTTATTGACATGCGTTGATGTCTTGCATAGATGATTAAATGTTGTTCTGAACTAATTCATTTCTATACACCTGTGAAACCAAGAGATGAAAAAGTAAAAGATGAAAGTGCATGACATCATCTTCTTTCCAGGAGCTTTACTCACAGTCCTACAATGAAGTCGGTGTCATGTTTGCTTACGTCGCTGGATTCAACGAGTACTTTGAGCAGAAAGAGATCAAACACGAAGGAGTGGACTGCCTGCGACTTCTCAACGAGATCATCGCTGGCTTTGATGAGGTGAAATGATAAAAGTACACATATATTTGTATATATTTATGGTATTCCCATTAGAATAACTCCTCCACCTGCCTCATTAGGACAAATAATGCATTACTGTGATGTATGACATTGATCTAAGCGCTTCCTCTCTGCATTTTCCACAAGTTGTTGGAGGAGTCGTTCTTCCACTATGTGGAGAAGATCAAGACCATCGGGAGCTGCTACATGGCAGCCTCGGGCTTAGCTCCCGACAGACAGGTGGGACTTTTTCTTCTGGATATTCTGCTGTTTTCTTCCATCATCTGCACCTGCCTTAACATCTGCGATATATATATATATATATATATATATATATATATTTATAGAGCTTTGTGTCCCTCAACTATCTGTCTCCTTCAGGCCTCCACGGATGAATGGAACCACCTGAGTGAGCTGGTCATGTTTGCTCTGGCAATGCAGGAGACCCTGAGGGAGATCAACAGGCTCTCGGACAAAAACTTTCAGCTGCGCGTTGGTAGGTCGCTCAAGCACGCGTAAAACCACGGATGCTTCGTTCAAACATCTCCCTCATCGATTTGACGCGCGTTCATTACTCGTCTGGGCCGCACCGATCAACAGGCATCGCCCACGGGCCCGTGATCGCCGGGGTGATCGGCGCCACCAAGCCGCAGTACGACATCTGGGGCTCCACGGTGAACCTGGCCAGCCGCATGGACACCACGGGCGTGAGCGGACGCATCCAGGTGCCCGAGGCCACGCGCCCCATCCTGGCCCAAATTGGGATTCGTCTTGGAGCTGCGCGGAGACATCTTTGTCAAGGGGGTGAGTGGCAGGTGGACTTTTGGAAGGGCGCCAGCCCCCTTTTGGGGTAATGATCAGCGGAGTTGGTGCTGTTGGTGCTCTGTACGTCTTGAGGGAAACACATTTAGTTGTGGATAAGCTTTGTATCCATATAGCTCATTTACCCAGGGGCCCCATGTGTTTGGGTCCCATGTGAACTAAACGCTTTAGTTGTTTTTTAGCTTTGTTTCAATTGAATGACACTTCACACTAAAACTAAACAAGCACTTGAGTTGCCTTATGATTTCGTTCCCGAGTGCCGTTTTGTAGCAGACAGGGTTTAACTGAGGTTGACGCCTTTGGTCAAATCGTTTGTTGTCGGACAAAGGCGACATCCACTGGTGAAAAGAAACAACAGAGGAATAAACGAGTCGCATCGCTGATCAGGAGGCCGCCCGAGTGCGTGACACGCGTAGATGTACAGAAGCACCGCGGCCGTACTCGTGAATGAATGTCGACAATAACAAAAAAAGAAAGAAAAGGGAACCCCGAGGGCCACATTCAGTGAACCGCTGCCGTCGTTGCAGGTGAGCGAGTGTCAGGGGAAAGTCCGCACCTACTTCATCAGCACCGTGCGCAGCAAGAGGGCGCGCGGCGGGGCGGCCGCCCACCTGGCGGTGCGGACGGGAGGACGCATGTCCCTGGCGGAGGTGGTCTTCGGTCTGCTCCAGGCCCAGCACAAGGAGAAGATGAGAGAGGCCAACGGAGCGTTCTGTCTGAGCCCGCGCAGACATAAGCGCTGACGGGGGGGGGGGGGCGCCGTGTTGCATTTTTTTTTCTTCCTGTGGCTGTTTTCCTGCTTTGCCTTGACTAAGTTAAACTAAGTTAAACTAAGTTAAACAAACCGAAGGAGAGGGCGTGGCCGATGGTACCCAGATCCTTCGTGAGCCTTCGTTCCTGTTTACTCGATGACCTCTCATCCCAAAAGATTATATATTTTCTTATGTGTTGGGGAAGTACTAGCTACATTTATCATTTTGATATGTTCTTTCCATGACCTACAAAAGTTACATCAGTATTTGTAAACACTCTCTTTCGTAGCCTGGAACCAGAGAATCAAGCAGCTTTGGGCTTGAAGATATCACACGTTTGATTTACAGCGTATGAAGAGAGATTTGTTCACGTATACTAATCATTCTAAACAGTGTTTAATAAGTATTACGTGGCTTTTTTTTGCTTGAAGAAGAACACGGTAAGTCCTCCGAACGGAAATACCTCAAACCAACCAGCTCGACCTCTTTTAAACTTCCCAATGGCCTCTACCGTGCTGACTAGTGCTTTTTTTACTGCATGAAAATGCATAATGCTCAAGTTTTATATCATCAGTCGACGTATTAATTCCACTAAGCGGATGTTATCCAAGACATGTTTTATTTTATTCAACATAATAAATCTGAATTTCTACTTGCTTTTATATTGTACCGTACATGAGTGGGGAGTTTTTCCTGTGCCGATGGAGGGTTTCGGGACAGAGGATGTCGTATGTGTACAGACTGTAAAGCCCTCTGAGGCAAATTTGTAATTTGCGATTTTGGGCTATACAAAATAAAATGAATTGAATTGAATTGAATGAGTGTTTTCAATGTGCTCCTCACTGTTACGGTACTTTAATGTCAGCGTCACTCTGGATTTTTGGAGATGGGATGAGGGGATTCAGTTCGGTACACTGCTGCTCTCCGTTACTTAACTACCGACGGATTTCTAACAGCGAGTTCATCTGCTGAAGCAACTTTGATGCCAAAACCACCTCCCATGTCACTCCTGCTGTGTGCTGAAACCAGGAATGTTGTTTTCCTGTGTAATAATACACATTAGTGTATAGCATGCTGCATGTTGTCACATTCACATGAAAAACATATTGTTCCTGTGAATTATTATGTTCATTTAATGTTGCAATGGCTCATCTACGGGACTTCCTGAGGAATCTATCAAGTAAGTTGGTATATTAACACCAGTTCTGAAAGAACGCGCGAACGAACATGATCAATAATTTGACGCCCGGTTGGGGACATCTGGGAGGATTCAGCCAAACATCTTCTCTCTTTCTGGTAGATTGATTTGTCAGATCACCGGTCAAGTATAAGCGCCGCGTTTGCAAAGGCAGGAGCAGTTCTGTCGGCCCGCCGGCCGGAAGATCAACTGTTTTTATATTTCTTGTTAGATATAAACACAAAGATTTCTATTGGCCCTAAATGAGCACTGGGAAAACGTTGATTATCACCATCTTGCTTTTCCTAAATCCTCTATAGTCCAGACCCATTTAGACTCAAATTAAGACTGTTATGGTTCATTTCTTTTTTTGTATTAACCTTTCACAAGTCATTTGTTAGTAAAAATACTTAGTTTAAGGATCCTGCCGGTCAGCTGTTATGTGGGTGCGTCCAGTCAAGTTTTACATTTAGAGGGGCCTTTACATTAAATTTCATACATATGAAATACTAAAATAGTCAGTGTCCCACTGTTATGCTTTGTTCTATCAGTGTTAAATTCAGGACTCGCCTTTTATAAATCATTTTAAATATACAGTAATGCTGACATTTTCGAGTGGGATTTCTAAACCCAGGATTAATAGTCTGCAGATTTGGGTGTGTATTGGATTGTTTGTTTAGAACCTGGTTCACATACGTTCAATAAATGTGAGAATTAACTCTGGTGTGACATTGTGGTTTGTCCATAGGAGACATTCAATGGCATTTGGAGGACAGACGCACTGCCTCTTAAACGTACATCGCCCCACTTTAAAAAGAAAGCAGCATGTACTTTTAATAATGTCAGTATTGAGGATTATAAATTAACTAAAATGGGACAAACTGAATATACAGACTCCTGTGTGCGTCACCGGTTTTAGTTTACACTGCAAAGTAACATTTACAATGCTATTTAAATTTTTATAAACTACAACTAAAGCAGTTTGTAGGATACTTTCACCTAGAACAGACATTTAAGGCTGATATTTTCTGATGTAATTCAAGCTAAGTTTGGTTAAGCTCAACCTGATGTTACACTCAAGGCTTTGAACAATCCTCTTTGAAAGGGTTTGTTTGAATTGTTCTTCATGCTCTCCAGAAGACTTTGTTCAAATCTAAAATGTCTTTGATCCTGAATGAAATGCTACCACTGTCTCCACACACAAATATGAACTAAAGTAAATATTTGTCCCAGCAGCCCAGATGTATGCCTTATTTTTTTCCCAAACGCGCAAACGCCGTTAAGACACAGTTAGGTCCAGTGTAAAATACATCCACTGTAACCAGTCAGCAACGTAACAAACAGCTTTTACATTCTTTATTATTAAAAGTTCTACCAACATAGTAAAATAAGTTATACATCTGGCCATCAAATTACACATGTGCTTTGGGAAATTATGAATTCCTGAAATGCTTGAAGCTAAACCTTTTTTAAAAATAATTTCCACAGGAAATGACATTTTAAAAATTGTCCCTTGAAAATAATTGCTATAAACTTTTTAAAAAGATCAACAAAAAAACGAAAATACTCATTCAATTATTATTGCACAATAAGCGGTTTAGAAAAGTGGGAACCCTCTTTACACATTGATTATTGATGCTTTAATTCATGGATTTTTTTTTTGTATAAAGATCTTTGCAATTTTTATTCATACTGAAATATGAAAATAATCATGACCTTTGTTCTGGGTGGTAGATGGGCTGGATCGGGGGGGGGGGGGTAAATTCAAGTCCTCTGCCATAGCCGGTGACATCTTTAAGGCTTGACCATCGCCGAGTCCTGAGGGGCCTCCTGCTTCACATGCGGGTCCTGTCTGGGGCCGCCGTGCGAGTTCTGGAGGGCGTCGGGTGGGCCGTGACCGTATGCCTCCCCGTGGGCCTGGGGAGGGACGCCTGGAGGCAGGTTCATCGGCGGGCTGTTGTGGTCACGTGGTCCTGGGTAGCGGATGTCATGGGGGACGGGTGGACGGGGTCCCATAGGTCCGCGGACGCCTTAATGGGACGATTTGGGGAAGAAATTTAGCTGAGGCGAGCAGAAAAACAGTCCTGCATTTAATGTAGCATAGGATGAGGAGGCATCATTTAATTAACCACCACTTCTGTTCAAGAAGTATGAAGATAGCAACACTTATCCATCCCTTAAGTGGATACTTCTCCAGTTGGACAGGGGGACAACAAAAACCATGTGCTGAAAATAATAAGAAGGGAGCAGACGTACCATGTTGCAGAGGCATCGGCCCGAAGTGGTGAGGCATCGGGGGACGGAAGTGTGGCGGTGACGGACCCCGAGGGTCGAGGACATGTGTGGGGGCCGGCCTGGGGTGGAATGCGTGTCCGTTGGCGGGGCGAGGTCCATACTGCCCTCCCATTGGTCCAGGCTGCGGCATGCCTGGGTGTCCATTAGGTGGCAGCGGAGGCCCGAGACGAGGAGCTACGTTTGGAGGAAGAGGACCGTGAGGACCTGGTGGGAGGGGGTAGAGGCCCGGCCGGGGTCTGTAAGGTCCAGGAGGGGGCAGGCGGCCGTGCGGGCCAGGAGGGAGGAACGGCTCATGGGGTCCGGGGCCGAGGGGGGGTCCTTGGCCCATGGGGCCCGGCGAGTCCCTGATCGGAGACGCAAGGAAGGATCCAGGTCCCTGGAAAAACAGGCGAATGAGAAAGAGCAGTGTTTTCAAATGCAGTCACCCTGACTGGTCGGCCGTTCGGGATTAAAAATGGATTCAGATTCTTTAGTCGTGCAGCGAACGGATCCTCAAACCAAAAGGGGATTTAGCCAGAGCTCAGGCAGCAACCGCACACCATTATTTGGATGAAAAACCAAACCACTTTCCCCACACTCAACCCCTGACAGACACTTGCAACATTCAAGGAGCCAAATATTTTTCAAGACACATTTTAGCAGAAGGAAGTTTAGACACGATGAAAAAGGCCGTCTGCTTCTCTCGGTGCTTTGAGAACAGAGGAAACCACACGCAGAACGACAGGTCATCCCCAGTACAGCGACTACCGGCCTTAGGAAAGGCGGTGGCGAGCTTCGCACACTCCCTCCGCCCCCGGACTGTCCGTCCTCTGTACTCACTGGCTCTGGACTGTCTGTGGGGGCCTCGGCCTGTGTCTCTGCGTTTATCTGTGGCTCTACTGCCTGTGTTTCAGAGCAGGGACATACACAATGGTGATGTAGGTAGGAGCTCCGGCCCTGCAGGTGGAGTGAGCCAAGTGTAAAAAAAAAAAGATTGGCTTAGGAGACAAAGACTTACCGATACATCCATGTTGGCAGGGGACGAGCTTCGGGGGCCCATCATGTCTGAAAGAGGGGAAACGGCACGTCGCTGTAAAACACGGCAAAAAGAAACAAGGAAACTCTGAAACAGCGGGACTGCGCGGGGACATACCCATGCCAGGGATGTGTTTGCTCTCAAGATAACGGCCGTGTGGGTCGGATGGAGGTCGCGGACCTGAGGGGAGAAGAAAATCTTTTTTTTTAGGATTGGGGGGCCTTCAAACTTCTAAATGACTCGACTGAAAGAAGCAAAACAAGAGCGTCGAAAAGGGAGCTGAAGACAAAAGATACGAGGACGACACACTAGGAAAAAAGAACTCAAGAAGGTGAAAGATCTGAAAAGAAAAATGAAGTCAGGAGTGGATGAGAAGAAAGAAATTTAAAAAAAAAGACAAAACGCTGCAGAGGAGGCACGATGTCCAACTGTGGCGAAGGTTAAAGAGACGCAAAGTAATCCACCGGGACTCACCATACGGGTCAATTCTTCGCCCCACCGGGGCAGAAGGGGGGCGCCTGGGACCCTCTATCATTATCGGAGGGGATGGGGCACCCCCACTGACGGGAGAGGGCCCGTACGAGTCACCTGTCACGATCAAACCATCGGTTTACCAGAGGAAGACAAACGGGCGACAGCACACTACAAATCCACGCGGAGAGGAAGCCCTCATTCAAACGACAGATGTGCAGCCACGTCGGTCCTTCTCGTTCACCCGCAGGACTCCGGTAGAATACTACGTCCTCCTTGTCAGCTCTGAAGTGGGAGAAAACAGAGAGCGCGCGCTGCGGCCCGTTTACCTTGGCGGGGGCCTGCAGGCTGTCCGGAGTTTGGTCTGAAGAGGGGAGCGCGGCGCTCATTGAGCTGGGAGGTAAGTACAGCCAGTCTGGGTACAAAAACAAAAGAAGACACTGGTTAGATTTAAATAGGTCCACCGGTAAAAAAAAAAAAAAAACGAATTAATTTTTTTTTAAATTATGAAAAGTTTCCCCGGAGCCTTTTGTCCAAACAATACTCAGTGTACAGAGACAAATAGAAAAGCCTCTCATTTGAGGGGCTGGAACAAGTGAATGCTTCAAATAAAAAAAATGGATTAACCATCCAAATAACTTTGTGATTATAAATCTATTTTTGACTTACTTTTCGCGGAGCTTTGACGCCTCAAGCTTCTCTTGGTTCAGAGCTCGCTCTGCATTACGAGCATTAACCTGGAAACGCAACGGAGAATTAGTGTGTAGCCAGAGTCTTAACGGCTTTTGTGCATTATCAATCTTAAATATCTGCTCGGAGCATATTGGCAAACGTGAATAAGCCGTGCCACTTCGTGCTGCATACCCAGTTTGAGTGAGTTTTGTTTTCCTGTTCTTTTATCTAAAACAGAAAGGGGGGGGGAAAAGATATTCAGATATTCAGTCAGGGTTAGGCAAGATGTCTCTGGGCTCATTAAGGAACAAATAACTACCTGCTCTTTATAGACTTCCTCCGTCTTCTTCATCTGCCCCTCCATTTCGTTAATGCGTTGCCTTAACACTTTGACCTGCTCCTCGGCCTCCACAGCTTTTCCTCCCACCTCAGACAGCTGACTCTCCTTGCTGCGTCGCTCCAGCTCTTCCTTCGTTAATCTCCTGCCGAGCCACAGGAACTTGAAACCAACGGCTTCACGGGGTCCCGCACATCCCTCCAGTTCACAAGACACGTCTCTCTGGACTGTGCACCGAGTCGTATTTGCTGCTTCACTTACTGTTGCAAAGCGTTTTCCTTTTGCTGATACATTTCAACCATAATCTCGTTTTTCTGCTGCAGGATCTTCAGCTGGTTTTCGACGTGGCTCTTGTCGCTCTTCAGGGCTGCGATCGCGTGCTCCAGCTCCTTGTGTTGCTCTGTTGTGAATACAAGGTTGTGATGGGAGGGAGGCGGGAAGAACACGTGGGTGCAGTTTGGCCTAAAGAAAAAAAAACAACCCCCCCCCAACTTCCCCATGAGAAGGGAGAGATGAGCGGCGTACCTTCCAGGGACTTCCTGGTCTTCTCTTCGGTCAGCAGTTTGGTCATGAAGCGATCGCGCTCCTCCTCCACCACGGTGAGAGTGGTCTGGACCTGCACACAAACAAATGGGAATCACTACCTTTTTAAGCCATTACGGTTAATGTTTGTCATTCGCTCTTAACTACAGTTTATTTAATAGTCGCATTCGACATCTTACCCGAGATACATCCATCATTTGTTTGATCCGGTTCTTTATGGCGGATCTCTTGTCTGAAAGTGACACCGAAGGACCATTAACACCTTGTGCTTTGTGACTGACAACAAATAACATGCTGGGTTCAAATCTAATCAATCAATCAATCAATCGTGTGACTGCTTTCATTGAAATAGCTTCAGAGTGGGACTGACCAGGAGCTACTTCGCCATTGGCTAAAACTTTGACGTCACTTTTTTGCAGATCACAAGCGTCCAGGTCAGCCAGAAGTTCAGACAGCACCTGTCAGGAGACGTGTTTGTTTGGGTTAATCAAGCAAGTTAAGAACATACATGTATATATTTTGACAGCAGTTTAAAAAGAAAAAAAGAAAGAAAAAGAAGAAGATCCAGACCTCCACGTTGTGATCTTTGAGCACCACCGAGTCCTCCAGCTCTTTCTGGGACTTTTTAAAGACTTTAATCTGCTCGCTCAGCTCCTTGTGTTTGTCCTCCCAGCTCTTCGTGGCGGCCTTAAGCTGTAAGAACCGGCAAGTCAGCAATGCGCCTCAGAAAAAAACCGTACGCATCATAAACTAGGTTTCTTCAACTGCTTGATACAGCGTCGGATTGAAATACTCGGTTTGGACTATTGAAAGGGACAGCGTGTAGATCCAGCTGTCGTCCAGCGGTTTGCTTTTACGGATTCTGAGGTAACGCGAGTCAAACATAGGTCAGCCATGCCAATAATAAAACCAATTTACTTTTACCGATGGCGCTTTGTCAGAACTCCTTGATAGAACATTTAAAAAAAAGAAAAATAAAGACTTATTATCTTACCGTTTTATTTTCTTCTTTTAGTGCTGAATAATCTTTCTCGAGACTTTTTTGCTGGACTTTTCGGGCATCTTCGCGGATCTTTGCCTCGTCCAGGAGAACGGCCGTCTGTAGCCAATGTGTGCGGATGAAAAGAGAAGCTGAACCCACAAGTGTTCCTTTTTTTTAATCTTGCAATGAGCAAAAGGTTTCGCAATGACTTGTACCTTGGCGAGAGCCTCTTGGATCTTTTTCCTGCCGAGCTGAAGCTTCTCGTTTGACTTCTCCAATTTCTCAATCTGAGAAAGAGAAGAGAAACCGTTGGGCATCATGAATTTCAGACGGCGGCCGAAGACGTAGCAGGAAGGAAAAGAAAAGAATCAAACAATTACCCTGCTGCTATTTCGCAGAGAGTTCGCCCTCTCGTCTTTGAGGAGTTTTGAGTAATTGTTTTTTTCCTCAGCAATCTGTTCATTCAGGGTTTTGGCCTCCAAAACTTTACTCTGCAAGAAAGGGAACGAGAGAACCTTTCATGTCCATAACGCATAGACAGGTTGAGCAGCTACCTCTCCCCTCGCAGCAAAGAGTTCATACACAAAAAGTATCCTCGGTGATTACCTCCAGGTCTCGCATCCTCTTCATTGTACAACTAACTGTTTCCGTGGACTGTTTTTGATTTTCTTTCATTTGTTCAGTCTTCAAAAAAGAAAAAGAAAGTCAGAAAGTCCCAAAAATTAGAATGTAAAAACAGATATTTTATAACATATTAGTTGTAGCTAACCTGTTTCTGAAGTTCAGACATTTTGGCAAGAGCGTCGATTTTCTCCTTTTTGAGGGCCGCGATTTGCTCTGCTAGCCTTTTTTCATCCACTGAGTCCACAAAAGTGCAAGAGAAAGTACAGTCAGTTACATTTTACAATGCTGCATTTTGTGATGTAATACAGTATTTAAACAAATAAGGGGTTTAGAACTTACCGAGATATTCTCTCTTCTTTACCTACAAATATTTTGAAAGGCATTAAGTAAAGGTCAGTTTAATTTCAGTCCAACAGTTTGGAATAAAACACCGTAATATGATCATGTACGTACAGTAATATAGCTTCTCCATATCAGGAACAGTGTACATTACATTACATTACAGGTCATTTAGCAGACGCTTTTATCCAAAGCGACTTACATTACACTTTAAACCCACGGCTTTTCACATTTTGCCCGGGGAGCAATTAGGGGTTAGGTGTCTTGCTCAGAGACACTTCGACTTGACTTGACAGCCGGGACTTGAACCACCAACCTTGCGGTTCCCAGCGCCCCGCTATACCCCCCGTACAGTGTACACATGATAAACATTGATTCACTTAATGGTCCATCTCAAACAGGGTTTTCCAGATCCGAGCTCATACAATCGTAGCGCATCTTTTTACCAGCGACGGGAGCAGCAGTGTCGGGACACTTACCGCTAACACGGTCCTCCAGAAGAAGAGGGTGAAGGTCACGACTCCAATCAGAGCAGTGACGAGCACGGATTGCCAAGGACAACCGAACAGGGTCTCGCCTGGCTTCCACTCCTCTGGCAGCAAGGAGATCACCTGACGGGACACACAAAACCAAAACAGTAAGGAATGATCAGGGACCCAATCAGAAATGATGAAAAAATGATGGTTTAACACAATCCTTGAAGATAGAAGGTCCGTGTCTCAAGACATAACAAAATGACGGGGTGATACACCCTTGTTTCTCCGCTCCGTATGTGAATAATATGAGACGGGTCTAAAAGTAGAGACAGAAGGCATGTCAATATTTGCCAAAACGCAGACCCACGGTAGCTTAAGACTCAAGGCAACTTCCACTAGTTACACTAGATAGAGATACTGCGTTTGCATCAACACGCACCATTAACCTGCATGTGATCTGACGCCGTTTACATCCCTGACAGGACGGCCTGTCAATGTGTTAAAGCATAACCACACAATAATTAACCGAGCATTGTCCTAATGTCACAGCCAAGAATTATTTGGACTTTAGCTCTTAAAGTGTATAATATTTAGCGTATTATAAAGGGTTGATGTTCACACGTGCCTCCCAAAATCAGATACTGGCAAATGTGCAACTACAAACCAGGTGTGCTTCACGTTACAGTTATAAAAATGATCGTGAAATGTCGGTTTGGCTTGACTTTGATATGAATTGTGTCAAAAGTCGAAATAGAGCATAATTGTAGTACCTCATTAATGTCGAGTCATGCTAATAAGAGCTCAGAGACCCAGAGGAACCTTTGGACCGAGCATGTGGCAGTGCACGCAGGACCGAACATAACGAGTGCTAATGGAACAACAGAGACCCGCAAAATGACCCATGTGAAAAGTTAAAAGATATTGTGCAAACGTGTACTTTAAGGTTAATCCAGATCAGGTCCGGCGGGTAGATTGGGGACAAACGTCTAAGTCAACGTGCATCTGCCAAATTGCTCATTAACACGTCAGCAGAGCAGTGCAACATGAAGTGAACACGAACTTTAAAACATCACAGGACTCAACTCCACATGTCCACTTACATGATGCAGCTCCTTAAGGAAAAACACGTTAACGCGATCCGGGTCCATTGCGGGTAAAGTATCTCCTTCCATGAACTCAGCCAGAGACGGTAACGTTACGCTGCGTTGGTCTGACAGCTAGCACGCTAGCACGTCAATGGCGGCTGTCATCAAAACAAACCGCACGGTCAGCTAACGCTAAGCCACAGAAACGAAAGCCGTTAAAAGCCTCCCCGGCGTCTGAAAAATAAACGAATTGAAGCCCTCGTCCCGAAAAAGGGGGACGCCGTTGGACAGCGGAGGGGTGACGAGGAGGACTCGGCGACCGCAGTGAGCTAACGCTAAACGGTGAAAACCGATGAGTCGTCGTATTTCCTCCACGGTCCAAATACAGAATCAACCAAGCAGCTGGACACGTTTGCTGAGCTGCAGGGTTCCACTAACTAAAACCCAAAACGCCTTTAACAACGGGAAGTAATCGGACAGCGCATCGTAATGCTTGTTTTTTTTGTAGTATTAGCTCAAACAAGGCCCGCCGGTAGTCCAGTGGACAGCTAAGCTCCGGCTGTGTTGAACTTCAGCCTGCGCCGCGGCACTCGACGTAGAAGATGAGGGGGCGGGGCGTGGGGCGTTCAGGCGCAATCTGAAATGTGACCTTCCCCCAGATACACAGGTCACAATAGTCATCCTGTAACGACCGACAACTCCTGCTTAAATAGTCTGTAAATATGCGAGAGCGGGATGATACAATTGTAGTAATATGATATTTGTAAAGTTGTGATCTTTAGACCGAATTAGAACTTTAAAAAAAACAACTCATTAACACCTTCACACGTGTTAGAAGACATTTCTCTCGGCTCAGTTAAGTTTCTTTAAACAAATGGGGAATATTTTCTTGCAGACCTACCGAGCGCTCGTGTTGTGGGCCTGACAGGTAAAAAGTACCGAGGAAGGCAGAACAGACGGACTCTCCTGATCTTTAGCAATCATAGTAGAAGAATCATTGTAGAGTTTTTGACTTGCCTCAATGGTCCACTCTGCCATTTTGCTCCTGATCATCGAAAAGATGCAGCCCATGAAAACCACTGCAGTTGAAAATAATCCAATTTCGTCATCGTGAATTTCAGACACCAGCTCCATGGAGTCCAAAGAACCTGGTGGGACAAAATCGGTCAGTCAGGTTGGGTGTGTTATGGGCACAACATAAAAAAGTCTCTCGGCTCATTAATAGAAAATAGAAAAATTAAATTCTAGGTAAAAAAAGAATCTAAGGAAAGCCCTTTAGAATGGAGGTCAAGGGAGAAACTACTGTTTCCAGGTTTGAGAAACTGGAATGCAAGAGAAATAACATTTTATAGAGACAAAAGTACCAACCTGAGGGCGAGGGCTCGACCTCGACACCATGGGCCACGTATATGGGATTTTCCGGGTTTGCTTGAGGGACCTCGTGCACCTCATCTGAAGCACTGAAGCTCGGCTGATCGTCTATGTTTTCACTAAAGTGTCCGCCGTCCTCCTCCACCTCCGCACCGACATCCGGTCCACTTCGTGCCTCGTCCAAAACCGCCTGGTCTCCTTCAGTCTCCGCCGGTATTTCCTCACCGTCTGTTACTGTGACGTTGTCGTCGCTCTCCGCTTCGGGGACACGGTCAACCTTGTCGTCGTCTTCTTCAACAGTGTGCGGCGTGTCTTCTTTTACTTGCATTGTGGGTTCGTCTACAACAAAAACACACAAGCAATTAGGGATAGTCAAGGAGGCGGCTTTCCACGTCTGTCTGAAAGGGTTTTCTGGGCGGTGGAAGTCTAGAAGAACAGAGAAATCTGAAAACAAACCACTTGTATAAATGGTACCAAAAAGGCCAATTGAGGGCAAATTTAAAACTGTGAAACAAACCCTACCGTGGTGTGTTTCTGAGGCTTTGTCTACCAAAGGCGCGCGGTCGTTGGCTGCAGAATACTTCTGTCGGAGGCCGAATGCGAACTCCTGGAAGCCGTCCAGCAGTTGAGTCTCCTCGTCCGGGCCGCCTCTTTCTGCACTTTCTGCATGTTGGTCAATATTCAGTTTCGAGCTCCGGCTGTCCAGCATCTTCTCGATCTCGTCCATGATGGCGGGTTCCGAGGCCTCCAGGATGATGTCGAGCGCACTTTCAATGTCACCCGCGTCTGAGCGGCGGGAAGCCTGAAACTCCGTGTCCAGGTCGGAGAACATGGCCTCCACTCTGAAGAGATTACTGAGGCCCAGAAGCCTTTGGAGCTTCGCCATGCTCTCCTCTGTGAAGTGGTCTCGGAGCAGAGTCAGTCTCATCACGCTGTCGCTGTACTCCGGCTCTGGCGTCGTCCCAGCGGGCGGAGCCGTTTCAGGTGAGGCTTCGGAGTCGTCGTGGTCAGATTGCGAGAGAGAAAGTGCATTTTCGTCTTCAAGTAAATCTTCTTTCTCCTCCTCTTTCTGTAGCTCCTCCTCCTCCTCCTCCTCTTCGCCTTTCCCCTCGTCCGTAATGTGTTCCTCGAGAATCTCCGGTCCCTCCACAGATAATTCTGGCTGACCGTTATTATTACTCTCTACATCGGTCACCAAGTGGTCACTTATACGAATCGGTAGGTGGTCATCTACCGTCTTTGCATCATCTTCCACAACTAGATTCTCTGACTTGCTCTCCTCGGCGAGTCGATCTTCCTCCGTTTCCGTTCTAGCTATTTCTAAATTTGTCTCCGTTTTGATTTTGTCCGATTTATTGTCCAAATCCTCCCCAGGCTCCATCACAACGCTACCGTCATTATCATCATTAACCTCCGACTCGCTGGACACTTCCTCCATTTCCTCCTCCACTTCTTTTGCGTCGTGCTCAATGGGTTCATCTGTTGTTTTAACATCAGTGTTTTGAGCCTCTTGTGACACCGGAGCCGCTGATATAGTAGTTGCTTCTACGTGACGCTCTATCGCATCGTCTTCAGGTCCGATCACTCCGACGTCGCTCTCGTCGTTGTGATCAAACAAGGCCGGCTCCATCTTCTCAGGCTCTTTTGACGATTCTATCGGTACTTGCTTTTGCTCTACGGCTTTACTTTCTTCCTCAAAGATCTGAGGGGTTGTTGAAGCAGCTGCTTCCACCTCGTCCTCCTCGTCGTCGTCCTCCTCCTCTGAACTCGACCCCTTTTCTGTCCTCTCTCCCCCGGAGACGACTGAAAAAACAGCATCTCCAATGGAGGTCCACACGTTGGTCTCCTCTGCAGCCTCTGGTTTGTCCCCAGCAGTAGGGGGAGGAGGTGCTGGAGCGTTTGCGGTGTCTTCAGAAAAAGACAGCAATGGCGTTTCTGCAATAACAGCCAACTCTTCTTTTTGAACATTCTCCACGTTTTCACCCTCCTCCTCTTTGTACGGAGTGACATTCTTGGTGATTTCTTCTTCGGTTACGACGGCGTCAAACGTCGTTCCCAGGGTTGTTTTTAACTTTGGGATTTGCACGCTTTCAGAAATCGTGACTGGTTCGTTTTCGAACGCGAAATCTCCTTCGGGCACAGATTCTACCTGAGAGTTTGTGGTTGTTTCTTTGGTTTCACTCCCTTCTGACCCATTTTCAGTAATGGAAACTCCTGCGTTTTCTCCTTCAGCTCTTTCAGTAGCACCAAGTGTAGCTGCTGCTGCTGCTGCAGACTGCACTTCTTCTGGAGATGGAGATTCAGTTGCCACCTCAAGTTCAAGGAAAGAGGCACTTTGATCATCGGAGTTATCATGATGCTCAGTTTGATTTTCACTGTCAGTCGGCTCGTCTGCTGATGGCTCCGTTTCTTCCTGCTCACCCTCAGACGATCGAATGTGCTCGGATGTTAAGTTATTTTCGCCATCATTCTCCACAAGGGTCGAGCCTAACAGGAAATCTATGTCGTAATTGTCAAACTTATCAAATCCAGTGTCGAAACAAACAAAATCTGTTTCCTGAGAAGAAGTACAGAAAAAAATAGATTTAAAAAACATCCGAGAGTATTTGAAATAATTTTCCATTTCTAATTGAAAAAAAATATTTACCTCTGATGGTACTTCAATTTCTTTGTCAGTGTAAAGGTGGTTAACTGCAAGAAGGTCGTTTGGAAAATAGCCAAAGTTACTTCCAACCTGCGGCAAAACACAAGAAGAAACCATGTTGAGGATTATAACAACAAAGCATAAAAGCAGCTTATCCGTTTTTAATTAATCGTTAGCAGAGTATACGTACACTTCCGGCCCATACGTCCGTCCTTCTGCCTGACAGTTTGTAGTAAACGTAGATAGTTTCTGATTTTTTGACCTTCAGGAAACGACAGTCCGGCCCAGAGAAATCTCTGATAGCTTTTCCCCGACAGAGAAGCACTGTGAAAGAACAATGGGAAGAATTAGAATAGTTTCATAAAGAAAATTTTTATAGTTTCATAAACAACAAAAACATAACTTGAAATTCTAAATACTGGCTGAGAATGTACCCCCCAAAATATACTACTTGAACAAAACCCTCAATACAAAAGAAGTGGTTCATCAGATTAAACTAATTAGTTATTGTTTGCTATTAAATCAACTTTCTTGAGGTGAGTAAACATATTTTGTTAGGCTTTCTAAGTTTTAACACAATCAAACTCATCCTCAGATTTAAAACGTTGAGTGTACCTTTGTATAACTTTCTTATTTTTAATGTGTTTATGTGTCTAATCTTTACTGTTTTATGACTCCAAACCACCTCCACCTCCTCCTCTTGACCTCCTGCCAACACTAAGTATTATTACACCAGCATTTTTGGCTGGTGGATTTCTTCAGGTGACAATAACAGCAACAGCTGGAACAGCTGCCCACAGACCCACGTCACTGTGATAAAAAACAGCAGCATTTATGAAACCCACTGGCAAAGACACGGACACTAAACTGGTAGCATTATGCTACAATAAGAGAAGAAACAACCACCGCCAGTGTGGCTTATCAATAGAGGGGACTACCTGTATCAGTCAGCTAATGTTTACTACTGTTTGTCTGACTACCAACATCAGCAGAGAGTCTTTGCTAAAAAACAAACCCAACAACAACGGCTAATTAGCTGCTAACATTAGCCACCGGCTAACCAGCCGACCGGGCAGGCCGGAGCTAGCAGGCGACCGGCCAACACCACGGGCTCAGTCCGACCGAATAACCCCCCCTCCCCGAAGCGGGCCGGCCACGTTAACGCCAACTCGCCCCGACGTCAATGAGCAGCACACGGCCACGCGTCACCGGCACCACCGCAGGGAGGGTCAGCCGGGTCACGGATATCGACCGGCAACAGGTCTGGAGATAAGGCGCAGTTTATGGCTAGCGGCGGGTATCTGGATGAGGGAAGACCGCATCCTCGGTGAGCTACAACAAGACAGCAAACTTACTGCTGCACTCCTGGTCGGCGCATCTTTTAAAGTCGGAGAACCTTTTTTCCAAGGCCGCGGTTGAAATAAAATTAAATAAAAGCAACAACAAGCCCTGTCGATAAAAGCGTTTTGCTGCCATGCTGGCGGGTTCTCGTTGGACTGGCTCGACTTTTGCTGCTGGAGCGTATAGGAGCGCTGTGGAGCTGCAGGCAGGAGCCGACACGTCAGCAGATCAGATCCGGCTGGGTGTCGGCACCGAGGGGTTTACACAGGATGTGTGCGGGAGGGAAAGTCCTTCTGCTTGGTGGGATCGCGGGGGAAACGATGCCACACCGACGCAGTGGCAAAAGAATGAACGGCTGCAAGGATGCAGCGTTTTCCTTGTGGGAAAAAAGGTCACTTTGTATGTGATGCTAATCATAAAGTTAAGATGATGAATAGTGCAAAAAAAACAAAAAACAATATTGGATCCTATTTGCATTTTTTAGTTTTAAAAATAAGATGATTGTCATCATAAGTATATGAAATGATGGATGGATATATAGGTAGGTTTATTAATGACAAAGGGAGATTACCGTCAAACATAAAAATCACAAATCACAAAGCGTGGTAAAAACATAATTAATCAATTATGAACTAAAACTTTTTAACAAAAGTTGCAAAGATATAAACGGCACACAAATCCTTTAATCTCAGCTTCTGTTCTTTTGCTTATTATGGCCGGTGGCAAACAGCTTTCAGGCGCGTTACCGCCACCAACTAATACGAAGTGTGGCCTTTATGAAAATGAAATCTCTTATACAAAAAGACAAACAATTATTATGTCCCCTTACAAGGGCGTAACCATGGTTTAGACATTGGGGGGGCCCAATGAATACATTCCCCAAATTATTTTTTTGGTTAAGTGCATGACCTACAATTCTTTATTTATATGTGTAAATTCACACATTTAAAACATAGTTTCGAGGACTACATTGACCATTTAAATTCACATCTAAAGGAATAGTGTAATTTATCTGTGACAGTGACTGAGTTGCTTACTATTTACTGACCCTAAACACACCTACCAAGTACAATGATGCTTTTCCAGTAGTACTGTGGCAAATAGGATCGCTTCCAATGGAAAAAGAAAGACCACTTACTTAGCCACATACTTAAAATGACTGTCTATATGTGCAATACTAAATTGCATTACATTTCACATTAATTTCTCACCTGATCATCTGCATGTCCAGAGCTTGTCCCTGTCTGGCCACTGCTTTCAGCTTGCCTGTCTCTTTCCCTGTCTCTCTCTGTGATGCCTGCATGTCATTTTATCAGAAAAACAGCGACTCGCGCTTTTATGAGGCTACTCCTTTTATTTGCTTACACATTTAGCTCGGTAACAAGTTATTTACTGTCTGAAAAAAACCGCGTGTGCTCGGCTGCTGGCACCGGTTTTCTCCGCTTTTTAGGTGACCTAAAATCCTCCATTACCCTACCCTAAAGGTGTCAAACTCACTTAAGGTTCGCGCCAGATACTGCCCACTTTGACCGAACGCGGGCCAAACCATTAAAATGACAGGAAAGGGGGGCGGTGACGATCCGACCGGCGAACGGTACAGCCGACGGGGGGCGCTGACGATCAGACCGTACCGCCGGCCGGTCTGATCGTCATAATATGTGGACATGTATTCTATATATTTTCTGCTGTATATTAGGGGGGGGCAGATTGGTACCTTGTCAATATTGGGGGGGACACGACCCCCACAAAGATTGCGTGGTTACGCCTATGCCCCCTTACAATATAGAAGGAACTATAACGATCAGTAGCCATTCCTTAACCTTATTGGCGGAAGAATACAACAAAAAGAAGCTCCGCCTTTTCCGGTCACATCAGCCAATGAGCGTGTAGCTTCTATGTCCACTTCCTGTAAACACACTAGTGAATACTTAACATGTGGAAGTACCATCGTTTGAGCATATAGGAGCCCACGTGCAACTGGGTTTTTCTACATCAGACTCACAGTACGAATGAGTACTTTATGTTACATTTGAGTGTTAGCTCACCGGTGCAGACTTAATCTCAGCCGTTCATTTAGCATCGTGACGTTGTCTGCGGTCAGAAACAACTCAGGTAGGAACTCGTTCACATAACGTTCTGTCACATGAATATTGTTATCATACATTATTAGATTTAGCTTTGTTGGTGGCGAGGATGATCGTGATTATTAAATTCATCAAGAAAAACTGCAAGTGAATGTCGCAGCCTCTCAAATCTGGAAAAGTGCTGCTTTTCCTTGTCTAACATTGTATTAAATAGTATATATTTTAGACTTTCCCTGTTTTCTGATTGTTTTCTCAAAAACAATCACAAGATTCTTCAATAGTAAAACGAATTGTTCAGATCGGCTTGAGGCAGTGGGACATCTTCATGTCCTGAAAGTAAGTCTGGGGGTCCAGATCATTTTCCAATGTTTTGTTTTTCTCTCCCTGAAGGTGAACGTTGCTCACTGAGCAAGTGATTGAGGGCAACCGTCTAACTACAGGCCGAGTGCTGTGATCACTATGGATGACATTGAGGCTGTGATCGTTATGGATGACATTGAAAGAGAGCTGGGGCGTGATGAATACTCCGAGGGTGATGCTGATATATCAGATGACATGTCTTCAAAGAGGACAAATTCCAAACTCCCTGTCGTTAATCCCCGGCACGTAGGTGAGTTGTCCTGTTTCCAAAATAGAATCTAATAACTAAACGGATATTTCCATGCGTGCTAAAATATATCGTCAAATTACAAACACGTGTGTCATCGGTGAATATGTTGGCTGATGAATAGCAAAACATCTGTGATGAAAGAAGTGTTAGAAGTCATTCACAAACCGTCTCATTTCATAGATTATCACCCAAAACCCTACCATTTTTTCCCCTGTTTTTATTCTTCAACTGAAAAATATCCTGAGAATCTTTTGGATTGTTATGAAAAAATAGTTTTGGTTTGTGGTCTATGTATAAAAAGAAATAGCAAGACTATTGGATTCATATTTTATCATGAAATAACTTATTTTCATCTAAAGAGACACAGAGAACCTCTAGTTTTCAAAAGAGTACCAGAACCTGCCTGGGACTGATCAGGGAAGCCCTGCTGCATCACAGCTGGCAAGAAGCAGCAGAATATATGGCCTGTTTTGCACAAAGGTTAGAGGAATCAAGAAACGGGCCCGTTGTGCAGGAAAAGGAGGTATGTTTCGTTTTGTCTGTGCTAGTATCACAAACATTAATCGCTACACTACAACTAACTGCAGCAGCACGTTACGTTTTCACAAGTAATCTTTCTGAAAAGGCAACTTAATTCTCTTTCACAGTTGTCCAAGCAAAAAAAGATATTAGCAATGATTCCAAATATTTCAGCTGAACATATTGTTAAAAAGTTGTTTTCATTAGTTTATGTAATAGATTTGAGAACTCTATGCATGTTTCCGCATGCTTGTTATTATCTCTGTTTTTTTTGCATTTTCCACATCAGCTTATTTGGAGAATCAGCACTGAGATCCTTCACCATCACCCCAACTCAAAGATGGAAGACTACAACAACATCTATGAACGGATGAAACACTCAGGATTTAAAAATTACCTGATGGTATGATGACTAGTACGCCTGACAGCACACACATTAGTGACAGACAAGTGAGACCGGTTCATTTGCGTCTCCAGATCTCTCTGGAACATTCCTTCCACCTGCTGCTTAACGGTCGCGTCAAGGACGCAAGGCATCAGCTGTCTGTCGCTGAAAGTTGGAGGCACGGGAACGAGTCGGCAATACAGCATAAGAAGACTGAACTGATTCACGCCTACAAGGGTTTACTGGATTATGTGATGTGGTGTGACAAAAAGTCAACCATCAACCACGCTGGTAAGGTGATCAGACACCCAAAGCAGCTATTGTTTACTTGGGTTAACTTTTGCAGCAATGATGTCTCACTGCCACCTACAAGTCAGATGTAATAAGAGGAGATCGAGATCTATGGATCCTATTAGGGTTCAATCTTGACACCAAATGCTCGCTGGTGTAATTTGATGTTTGAAAAACGTTTAAATTCTCCGTGTAAACTGACCCTACTGTTTCAGAGTATCCCGACAGGTTGCACAACCAAGACATGAACAACCTCTTCAGAGCGGCCTCTGTGAATCTAAAAGCGATTTTGAGAAGTCCTGGCGTCTGGGATCCCTTCATACTGAGTTACGTTGAGGTAAGAACTCATTCTCAACTGCCTGATCCAAAAGAACAAACGCATATGTTTCATATTACATTAAACAGAACTAAGTGCAACAATCTTCAGGAATCAGGAAATATTTATTACCATAATAAGTCATACAAGGAATTTGAATTGGCGGTTGGTGCATAACAGCAGACAGTACGACCAGACAACAGTGCACGAGGAATAAAATAAAATATAACGCTATGGGTTAGTTTAAAATAAGTTAAAGTTAAAAATGTAAAAATAAAAGGGCACCAGCGAACAGGAAGTGACTAAAGTGACGAGTGAAAGTGATCATTGATATACCATTGAAGTGAAATTTAAAACGACTAACTTTCCTAGACTGGACCAAGCATGCACTTCAATGTCATCCGTCCGTTTCATGCACTTTATTGTGGAAAAAAATTAGAAAAAAAAGACATGGTCTTCCATGTTTTTCAAATTTCAAAGTCGGTTTTTCTAAATGTTATGTGGTTGTTTATTTTTGGCAGATGCTGGAGTACTATGATGACCACGAGGAGGCTTTAAGAGTCCTGAATGATTACGCATATGACAACAAATATCCACCTAATCCCAACGCTCACGTCTATCTGTACCAGTACTTACAGCGGCAAAATGCTCCAGACAAAAAACTGATGAAAGTATTGAAGGTATAACTGTATTTGAAATTTACTGACTAAATGTGTATTTGTGGAACTAAAAGCTGTGCCATAAGATGTACACGTATAAACACAAACACTGTTCAATGCATCTATAAAACCTGACTTCCCAATGCCGTAGGTCCTCTGTGAATTAGTCCCCAGCCATGAGTTGATGTTGGAGTACAGCCGTCTCCTGCTTAAGTCAGGTGAAAGCAGATTCCTTCTCAAATGAAAAGTCATGACAGATAATTCATTATACCCCCAGTTCAAGTGAATCCAATGCATGCGGAAGAAGTGGTCATTTGAGTTATTGTTGATTACGTGACGTCTGACTGCAAACATTAAGAAGCATTTTGATGAGAGTTTTGATATAATACATATTTTGGTTATCGTGTCCTGGCACATGTGTCCGTCACGTCTCCTTATATCATCTGGCTCGTTTCGTAATGCTCATTACTTATGTGTTTTTGTTTTTCAGAGAAAAGAACTAACATTCAAAAAGCTTTAGGAATTATTCTGGAAATGCTCGACTTCGCCTGCTGGAGGAGCAGCCTTGATACGTGGAAGCTTTTAGAGGCCATTATTAAAAAACTCCAGTCACAGTTACGTGTAAAAAGTTAAAAATTGGATGTTCTTTTTTTTTAAATCAGTAACTGTTGCTGATCCCAGTCTACCTGTATATTGTTGTATCACAACAGGTGTGACTGGAAGGACTCAGTCGCTGGAGCGATGGCTGCCAGAAAGGACTGGTGGCCTGCACTGCACTTCACACGCTTCCACGCCAGTAGAGACTCCGAGGAGAACCCGGCGCTTAAAAAAGTGAAGGCATCACTGACACAAATCCTCTTACCTGGTAGGATGCTGTCCGCTTGCAAAACATGCCGACAGTCGAGTAACACGGTTGTATTACGAGATTTGATCACAATTACTGAGACCTGTTTTTATTGAGGCAAATGTACATTGAAAGCCACCCTTCAAGTCTCAATAGCCTCTTAGAGCTTCAATCTGCAGGACGTTCATGTTGCATAACAATGGCTGTTAATGGTAGAAGAAAAGGAAGGCCGCGTATCAGATTTGTTAAATTTGTATATATAATGTTGATCTTTTATATATCAATGTTTTTCTCGTTACAGGCCTAATGCTCAAATACACAGCTTGACAGACAACCACTAATGAAGAGCGAGTGACTTCATGTTTTTCTTTATTTTTTTTTTCACATGTTAACTATGTTGAATATTGTTTAGCTTCACTGACACGCAAATGTAAAAAAATGTAATTCTCTTTTTATAATTCTTGTTTTTTTTTCCACCACGATACATTGGCCACCATGTGGCGCTCTTGTTCAGTACGTTAAGGGCCGGACCACCTCATTCTGTGAGAGTGTGGCTCTGAATGTCAGTGCTCATGATGGTTTGCTGGGGGATTTCCGTAAACGATTTAATGGCAGCAAGAGTCTCATTCTAGTTTAAAGGTATTCTTTATGTTTTATCCTTTTCTTCAAATTCCATGCTGAAGGAAAGCCATGAAATAAAGTCTTGCATCCAGCAGCAGTCCAATTTAATAAGTGAAAGTGTTTGTAATGATTCCGATTCGGCTTGCCACAATGTTGGCCATGCAGCAACTCATTGAGCCGTAGAGTGTGTGTGTGTGTGTGTGTTGCTTTGCAGTCATTACATAAACCAAAGCCCAAAGCACTTGCCCGACCACAGGAGCAGCTGCAGAAGGGATCAGGGAATACATAACACATGTTGTTTGAAAATTCAAAACTCTGGGAGCAGTGAAGAGGATAAAGTTAAGAGGCGGTCACCCCTTTGGAGTGTGTCCTTTTTGTGACCTTTTTAAGGTCTACATTCTCTGGAGTTTTAGTTTTTGAACCACCAACACAGATGCTTCACTGCTTCCTTCCATATTGGCTCCGCGGGGGGTTTGGGTTCCTCAAGGACGCCTTGACGTCAAGTGCAAATTCATTTTGTCCAGTGATTCCCACCCTTTCAAAAGTCCCTGAAAGCCGCTTTGCAGTTGTAATTGTAGTCCGTCATTAGAGGTGTGATGTTTGAATTTCTTTAGTCTTTCACTAAATATTTAAAAAAAGGACAGGGTTGGTTGGGGTTTTGATTTCTCCCTGGAATCTGGAGAACCATCTCAGACTACATCCACCTATGAGGTCAGAGTCACCCAATTAGGTACCATAGAGAGTCACCGGCAACAAAAGGTGTCCCTGTTGCAGCCATAAGCTCATTGTTCCATCTTGAGGCAGCAGTCGGGGCAGCGCGACATGGCTGCCAACAAGTCTGCAGTGTCCACTGGCAACGTGAATAAAATCCCCCTTCCGCATTATGTTATTGTATGTGACAATATATATTTGTAATTTAGTTTTGTTGGAATAACAACCAGATAGGAATAATATAAATACTGCACCTGACGACTCACAGGGCTTCATTCCATTTATTATTGATGTAACCTTTCCTTATCCTGTTCACTTGAACACACTCGAGTTTTTACTTTAACAGCCCGGGAGTGTTACACATTTACAAGCTGCTGAGTACATCCACTGGTGCTTCCAGCTACGAAGGAGGCTCCCCTGGTTCCGTCAGCTTGTTCAGGCTAAGAGGAAAGTCTGTGATGATTAATGTTCATCTTGAAATGCAACCCAGGGTTGATGGGACAAACTGTAAAGTCTATCTGGTGGGGGGAAAAAAAGGGGCTTATTCGATGACTCCAACAGGCCTTTTATACCTCCTCCAGCTCCGAGAGCGACTTGGGCCTAACCCCACTGTAAACGCACAGGCGTAGTAGTCGCTGTGCAATTAATCATCGGCGCAGACTGAATCTGTTTTGCTGCGGAGAAAGAAAAAAACAACTAAGTGTTAGTAGAGGTGTTTTCATTTAATGCATACTTTAGAGTGACCCTGCGTGTTACTTTGGTGTGTGAGGCTGACATGAATTGAGTTTTCCCTTCTCTGACAGCCTCACTCCTTCCTCCCCCTGGCACACGCATGCAAACACGCACGCACACGCACTGCAGTTGGTGACTCAGGGTCTCGCTTGGTGGATCTGCTGTGCTCTGAGGATTTGTAACCTAAAATCCAGACTTTCACAGTGACAGTGTAACATCTGAGTAACTCTGCGAGACATTTGAAGTCTGGTGTGGTTTGAGCGTGATAATTCAACCATGCAATTTTGGACTTAACATATTGATGTGTCCGCCAGTGCTGCATGCTACGAGCAGGAAGGAGATAAAACAGCAGAACGTGAAGTTGACAGCATCTTCAAAAATGCAACTTAAGATCAAACTGTACGAATAAAACTCCTGCAGCTTTAAATCGTATAGTTACATTTGCTTTTGTGCAAACTAGCCAGCGTGTCATGGGTGTGTTCCGAGGCCATGACGACCCCTTTGAACAACTTGATAACAAAAGCTTTTCAACACACTAATCACACTTCCAGATGCTATGAAAAAGAAAAATGCTTGAGGGGAGTCAGTCAAGTCTTGGGCAACTTCAGGAAGACGTTAAAAGAAGAAGAAAAAAAAAAGATACCGAAATATCCTCCCCCGTTCCGTCTGTAGAGTTGAAAGTGACAACTGCGAAACGTCTTTGTTCTTCGAATGCAGCTGCAAAAATAGCTTTCAATAATGTATTAGGAGAATAAAGACTGCGAGCGGATTTCTGGGGAGTCTCAGCTCTGCGTACGTGCCAAGGAGCGTCTCTGCTGAGCTCCCCCTGTGAGGATGGATCCGGTTGGTGAACACCAACTGATCCCCTTGACTCCTAAAATTGCTCTGTTTAAATCCAGGGAGCAGTTTGATTCGTCCGTGGAATAAACAGCTCACCTTATACGTTTAAGTCTAATCCCATATTGTCACTTGGGACTGGACAATCACAGGTCATTTACTTAGCTGCTGAAATGTTGCATGTGCACCCACCGGGCCGAGGACAAGCAGTGCAGAACAGCAATGTACTGACTCCGAAATGCATGATGCCTTGACCACCCGAGCATCCCCCCTCAGGCTGTGGAGGTTTAATTTCTTGCGTGCCTGAGTGTGATAAGTGGCAATCTCCATGTTGTGACTTTCCTTCAAGCTCTGTGGAGCTTACTGAAAGAAAGAAGCGAGACAGAAATCCAGGCAGGCATCAATTATTAAGAAAAAGCAGGACATCAGTGACACAATCTACAGATTTTTTTAAATTTTTTTTTACAGGATTTGGATGGTTTGACTAAAAATAAGGCAAGCACCATATCTGCATCAGTTTCAAATGTAAATGATTGTATTGGATGAAGAGTGACGTAGTGGGATGACTCAAGCAAACAACAGACAATTTATTCTTTGAAACAATTTTCAAATTTCATTGTTATTTTTCTTAATTTATTTTATTTGTAAAACTGAACTACCTAGTTTTAAAAAGGGCCTCATAAATAAAGTATTTACACATTTGAGTCATTAAAGCCCTCTCCTGCAGGGGGCACTCTAGTCAAGTGCAACACGTTTCATGTTTTCTGATTTAAAGCCTTCATGTCAAATTTAGGATTGTTGAAGATTCTCTAAAAGATCAAACTTGCTCTTTACTCAACGTGTGGGCCTCTTTTGTCGTGACATGACATCATGTGTAAATGAACGCCCTCTTCTGCCCCCGAAAGAGTGTTTTGAATATACTGAGGAGTGGGAAGACGAGTTTTGAGTAAACATGTGATCTCTGTTCCCCTTTTTAAATAAAGCATATTAGATATTCATACAATTGAGAGGCGATATCATCCAACAACACACCCACACACACACTTATATAAAAACTTGCAGTCGGCAAATGAGTTTCACACACTGCAATCGATCAACTCTACAGGTGTAACACCAGGTAGGCCCAATGATTACATTATCCTGTTAACCAGTCCGCACAGGCTCATGTTGTACTTACCGTTTCTTTATTGAGCGCGGCCTGACCCCGAAGGAGGGTTGTTTGTCAGCGCACCGAGCCTCTGCTGTGTGGCATTATTGTGGTTGGAAAATAAAACAAAGGCCTGGTTCATTTGGACTCAACGTGGGAGACGGAGAGTTTCTGCCTGTCTGTCTTTACACTTGCACCTTTACTCATGCTTCTCTCCATCAACCCTTTCCTCTCGCCCCTGAAGGTCAGTCGGTCGCGATGCTGTGGTTGAACCTTTCAACATTATGCAACTTTGACATACAACCCGTCATTCAGATATTGCCTGAAGGGTGTCAGGCTATTAAATGCATTAGTGAAAAATACCTTTTAACACTGCAATGGATGCAAGTTGATGGGTCGGCTCTAGGGGTCGCATGGCAACGTGTTCTGAACATACCACTAGTGTCGGTATATGAGGTTACCGTTTGTTGTTTTTATAGGAGCCATTGGATGGTTCGTCATGACATGTGTGACATGTTTCCCTCTGGGTGAATTGCAATAACAACGTGGATCCACTCATTTTTCATCAGGCGTCGTCATCGACTACTTTGGTTTTCAAAAGAAATGACATTTCCCGCTGCGTTTAGTGATGATTACCAAATGTTAGCATGCCGCAACACTTGACTAAAACAATGCACATTACACCTCAACATCAGTCGGCCAGCGTTGTGATTATGAGCACGAGGAGGTCACGCAAAGAACTGATGATGTCCTTGTTCTTGTCTTAAAGGACACCCTTTGCTGACATTCTACATATGTATATTATTAATAATTGGCATTAAACAGGACCAAAACATTATTTAGGTAAATCTTCAAAAACTGCTCACAAATGGAAACGTGTTATGTAAAATTCTTTGCAGCAGCTGGTCACAGAAGGAATCCTCAGCTGATGTTAATCTAAGTGAAGTAAATGGTGACAATTTTCGATCGTAGATCAATACACATTTTGCGCAGTAAGCATGGCAGCCGGACGGTGACACGAGTTCTACTCACAATAAAGTACAGTGCCCCCGGGCCACTGCAATGAAGGAACATGTCACCCGGTGCAACAGAGTGGCTCATTGATGTGTGAGTTTAATAGTTTTCAGGGAAACAATGGAAGTCTATCAGGCTTCGCGCCGCACAGACCTTCGTTGTTAGAAGAATCAGTTAATTGTTGGTTTCACTTCTTGGAGTGACGCTATTTGTTTGTGTGCGCTCAAAGCAAACACACGACACCGATGATCAATGAATTCAAGCTTCTCTCTGTTAATACATTTTTATTAACATTTTACTAACTCAAAACTCTGCGCCTCTTCTTTTGTATTCCAAAAGTTCTGGTGGAGCATTTCAGGCCGACATTTCGCCACGGGCCTTTTTCTTTCCACGCCGGCCTTTAAATTTGCCGTTTGTGTGTCTCTGTCCTGTGTTTAACAGTGTGTTAGGTCAGATTAACAAATAGTGAGGCCGGTATCAGGCTGAATAACCGCATTAAACCGCGGGACAATGGGAGCGCGAAACTAAGCCCTTTCCCAACCTGTCTGACAGCTTGTTGCGTTGATGTCATCCTCTGACTCAGGCCGTTACCGCCGCCGCCGCTGTCACCCTGGATGCTTGGATGCATGACATCACCAAATGACACATATCACTCTCCGCTGCTGCCTCTCTGCTTTCATTTCTCCTTCTCGCGCTCCAGTCATCTGCGCACTCATCCACTTTCCTGCATTGTAGGCTTCCCGAGGAGGAGATGAGCTCGATAAAAGGAGGGACGATCTGAGAACAGTGATTGTTGGCTCACATGATGTGCTCTAGGGGGACGGGGGGGATTTCCTTTAGTAGAGTTAAAAGGTTTTCTAAGTTAGTTAATGCTGTTGACTTTATGCATCCAAAAAACACAATTAATTGTTTCCGTAAGAAGAACAGCAAGAATTGAAAATTGAAGAATTGTGTGCTTTGTTATTGGTTGAGGCCTTTTTTTTTAATGTAACCACACTGTAATATCTGAACTGGGAATATTCACAGATCTAAAAAACAGAGCAACTTTCCTTCGCCCACGTTTTGGAGATGCGCGTTTTGTCATGGGACACGTGTTTCACAATTCATAACGTTTAACGTGGCACCTTCTTAATCATAATCTGTCAGAGACTTTCCATTGTTTCCATTCACGCAAATAGGACTGATTGTAAAAGTTAATTATTGATGGTGGCAAATCCCAACTTGAGCTCTTAACAGAGCTCTCACCGCTTTTCACCAGCAGATATTGATGGAAGAAGTGCTTCCTTCCTTTACTTAAGTAAGATTAGAAATACTATGGTCCATAACACTCCATGTTGGATGTTTGTCAATAAGGAGCCAATTTTAGAGACTCTGTATTCTACTGATTAGATTATTACTGCATCGTGTTAGGACATTCTATGTTATTTATGTCAAAAGCAAGTGGTAAAGGTAAAAGTAAAAGTCGTCGAGTAGAAAGTAGGATGTTCCTCTGAATGGTGTAATGTGGCAATTAAATGAATACATGTACTTTAGTATACATTAATTGAGTTATTGTACTTATATTAATCCCAGCAACCCAAGCAGCTGCAAACTGAGTATGAATCTAAAAAAAATCGACATTCGTGTGATTTGGGATTGGATCCAGTCTCGGCTCTAATATGGTCTTTAAAGGGGAAAGTCTTCTATTTGGGTCCCAGTTGATTCGGTTTGTCACCTTTGTCACGTCCTGTTCATCACTTTCTGTTTGCCTAACAGCCTGTTTGTCTGGTCCAACACCATAATATAATCTAGCCATGTGGGCATACAGTTTATTGTCCGTGTCATCTGGCTGCTGTGACGCGTTCATTTTCACACAATCATTACATGTGTACCATCGTAGTGGTCCAGAGTATGTAAAGCAGCTGTAATGATATCAGTCTGATGCTATCATGCAAATTCATTCGCAAATGTAACAGGAGAAGAGCATCACCTATTAGCATACGATGCATTATTGTACTTTCGCGCATTCACCGCTGAAATAAGCATTTGGAAAATGATCCAATCAAATCTAAAAATCATTAAGTTTACAAACTTTACCATGTAAAAGGCTCAATAAACACTCCTCGCAGTAGATGGTGCTCATGGTAAAAAGTCTGCTCTCAAATATGTGTTTACTATTCTCTGAACAACTGAGCACATCTCATATTCAATAGTCGATTCACGAGAGGTTTTGCCATTCCACACACCTGCTGTCTTTTGGAGGTTTTTCCTTCCAAAATCTTCCACTGTCATACGGGAAGTGAAGCATTTTACATTTCTGACAGCTGCAACAGCTTGTGTAGAATAACGCAGGGGAGCTGTAAGCTGTATGCAGGAGCAGTAAACACCATAACATCGACAATGTCTTCATTTCTCATTGAAACACACCTAGATAACCAAGTTCTGTCATTCCCGGTGACTCTATTTCACATCCACTAATAGGGTGTTATTACTGCAGATGTAGTCCAGAGCGGTCCATTCCTGAAGCTTGGAGGCAGCTGCCAACTGAGGATAAAACCTCAGCCCCCCCTGAGGGACAGGAACCAGGGTTCCCTCATGTCTTTGGCAGGGGGGCCCCCCCCCCCCCCCCCCCATCGCCCCCCCCCGTCCTAGAAACAGTTGCTATTTGGATGCGATTAGCAGCGGCTGCGGGGAGAGTCATTGTTATTTATGTTGTGTCATTCCTGCGTTTGTTTCACAGGGCAGCGGGTTTTGATTCCGACGAGTTGCTCCACGCGAGGTTCGCTTCGCAGAGGTTTGGTTCGTGACCTCCGAGAAGACGTCTCATACGCAGACACTCACTGCGGACAAAGGGTATAAATATCAGAAGACATCATCTAATACCCTCAGCCGTGCAAATCCATCCATGTGTATGATATGCCTCCATTCTGGGATAAGGTCAGAATTAAATTGGGCTCCCACTGCAGGGAGAATGACAATATTTGCTATTCTTGAGATCATTATCTCCGATTTCATCAGGGCATGAGGTAAACCAAAATTGCAAGAGCACACGCTGTCACTGTACGTACAAATCAAGCACCGCCGAGATTAGTGACGCTTCCTCACCGACTTTATGAAATATATGCCAGAGTGTATACGTGAGCAAGGGGGAGCGAATGCTTACATTTTTTTTTTTTGATCGTTAACTAAACAATATTTGGTTGTTGCTAAGTGACCGTGAGGATGATTCAACCTCCCTCAGGCAAAGGGACATGCCAACGTGAATGAATAATACTGAGCAGACCGGCCCAACTCAGAAGGAAAATGGTGTTGTTATGAGCCCAGTGATGTAGCTGTTATTGTTCGCTGCATACGATGCTTCTCTGTCACAGACAACGACGTCCTCGCAACACTTTAAAAGAGACTTTGTGCCTTCGGCTGATTCTTTTATTTTCACTGCCTACATTCATCGGCTAATTTCAGTATTTCTAAGACTTAATTTGAAACCTTGAGGGTCGTGCGATGCTTGTGGAGGAGGTTTGTGTCGCCAGATGAAATGCTATTAAATCTCTTGCTACTGATGTTTCTTTCCTTACACATTGAGCTAGCAGCTCAATAGATGAATGATCTTATCTAATTGTGTTTCTGAGTGAAGCCGTGATGTCAGTCGAGGTGAAATGCTGAGAAGCGCTGACGGACGCGCATAAACCACAAGAATGAGAAATAAGAGGTTTCGAGCGGCAAAAGAAGTTTGAGTAAGCGGAGAACTCGCACAGTTGTTGTCCAAACGCACCAACAACTAGCGAGCTGCCTCAAGGTACGAGGCTTTAGTGCGGGAAGAGACGGGTCCTGTGTGTTTCATCGCCTTTGTTTGCAGGAGAAGTGAACTGTACTCGATCGGTTTAAGGACCCGTGCTCGGTTTCCCACGTCACGTGTCTGCAGTCTCGCTCCACCTCCCTCTTTCATCCGCCATTGTGGAGTCTCGCGTGACATGAAGACATCTCTCTCTCTCTGCCTCTTTAGCCCGCCTTGTTCACCTTCTGACAACGTGATTCAGTCTGATTCCACACAGCGTTGGTGTTGACTGTTTAATGTGTGTTAATGTGTTTCAATCCAGTAAATCTTACAATATCTAAAGCAGAGTAAGTTGTCTCACGAGGAGAGTCACACAGCTCGAGCATCAGTGACGGAACAGAATGTAGTTTTGGAAAGCTGTAACCCCTCGGTAAGGGTCTTGCTCAATTAAATTGCCATATCAAGCTAATGAAAAATGATTTAGAATGGGAGGGAGAGCGGCCCGGTAAGTTCCAGGGGGTCCGACAGGTTTGAAGCCGCGTGTTGCATCGTGTTACGGACGACAACACGCACTCGGGAGCTGACAAATGTGCAGAAAGTAAAGGCCACGGGTTGACGGGCTGTTGAATCTTTGGCAGTCTCCTTTTCGCCAATTGCTGGACATGTTGCTTGTCAAGCTGTTTAGTCTGCAGTGGGCCCATCTGTGCCGTTCCCTCTTAGAAACCATCAGGAGCAACATTTGCGCATTTCTTAAATCCTTTGCCCTGAATAAGGAATGAAGGCACTTTCTACATGGGATGAAACGCTGGCAGCGAACGGGGACATTAAAAACTAAAAGACATCAATTAGTAAATGGGATAATCTGTAAATCAAACACCGTCTCCAAGGTATTTCGAATATGTATGACAACTGGTTTCCAAGGTTACGGGTGGAGATCTCTGCGCGCTGTTTTAAATGTGACGTTGAGTCTACACTTCGGTGGAGACAGGAAGTGGTTTGGGTCTTTCATCTCGGGCAGCAAATAGCACAACCACCATCAGTCATACTTTCCGGGCCGGCAGAGACACCCCCCCCCCCCCCCCCAAAAAAAAACCCCCACTTGACTGTGTTTTTAGCATCAAAGTTTGACATTATCTCACATTATGTGAAAAGCCGCCCTCTGTCATGTTTTCCATCGGCTGACATTTATGAAGGAAGCAGATCTCACAAAAAAGCATTCAAAGTGAAATAAGACTCATAAAGTCTGACCTGCTCCCAGTTTCCAGTGAAACAGAATGAGGAGACAATGTAGTTTTAGAGCAATATCACCAAAAGAAATTAAACATCACATTTCGAAAAGAGGTACTTATGTTTCCCCACTCTGACATGTACGGACAGCTCATTGTACAAAATACCTCCCAAACATTTTAACAAATTAAAACATCTGTTTAGACATTGTGGCTCGTTGAACATAATTATCAAATCATAACAAAAATGTATTTACATTTTTTAACCAAGGCATGCTCTGTAACTCTATATCAGCAACCTATCTCCTATCTATCATTTCCAACATAAAACCCCTAAAATGTACCGTTTAGCGATTAAAGCAGCATTAGACGTGGTTATTCATGCTTAAAGCAGCTGCTAATGGTTAGAGATGAACATGGCCTTTGTTCAAGTTACAATCTCACCACCGACTTTTCGTTCTCTCTGGCTACGGTTAGGGTCAGAAAATCTTTTTTTACCCACAGTTGAATTACAACTGAGTGCTTCCACGAAACAGCCTGACTTCCAGGAAATAACAATTACCAATAACTGGTTTTGTGGTGACCCCTCTCACCTTCTTTAATACATGCCTAAACTGAAAAAAACCTCTCTCATTAAATGTAGAATCTTTGATACCAGCTAGAGAGAATATTTTGAGGACCACTTGACAAATGTTTGTCCAAATGAAACCAGGCAGGTGGAACCGGTTGAATTTACATAACTGCTCAGGTCCTGCTGCATCCAATGTTTGAACTGTCGACAGAGCTCATGTGCTTCTCGTTTTAAACGACTCTACACCAACGCATTTATTTCACATGGTTAGAAGTGATGCATCAATGTGAGCAGCATCCCACTGTTGTGGATGGTGAAGGCGAAGCTATTACTTTTTCAACTTCCAGTTGTTCTCAACTTATCCATTTAAGAGGGAAGAAGGAAAAATACGTTTTTGATACTTTGTGATGCTTTTACTGTGAAATAGTTGGGCTTAATCATTAGTGGTGTGTAGTATCTTTTAATTACAAAAGTAATCACATCTATCAGAGAATGTATAGTGCAGTACAACACTTCCATCTGAAATGTAGCAGGAGTCAAAGCAAAAATGAAAATAGCCGAGTGCAAAACTGTGGTAACACACCAATTAAAGTGATTAAAACACACCGATTAAAGTGATCCTGAGTGAAAAAAAACGAAACCAACCGCAAACGTTGGGTCTCGTTGTTGTTCATTTACCCTTAATCACAAGTGGAACAGGAGAAGCTGGGAATCCAATGGGAATAGGCTTTGATCAGCTGCGTCCTTTTATAAATAGCTGCGGGGCTAATGAGAGGCAATGATACATGCCCCGCATTGTTTCGTTTTGCCAAAGGGGACAAATAGAGATCTCAGATTATATTTGGGGTTTGAAGCCACCGAGAACCTTTCAGCGCAGCATGGGTCCTCCCGTCATGTGGGACTGTCCAGCCTGCCAGCTTGGCACTTGCTTAACGATATTCCTGCCAAAGACACCAACAGGACTAATTACTACCAATAATGTTACATCCCTGCCTCACACACGGGTCACTTTGGCTGTTTTACACAGGCCAGATCTTTATTGGGAAGTTTTTGTTAAGTTTTATTATTTTACATTCAGAGGTTGGACACTTTAGAGATAGAGCTTTATAAAGAAAGGTCAATTGATGTTTTTAAAATGTCAAACTGCAGTCTGCCAGACTTTTGTGAAAGTTGTGTTATTTTAATGATGCGAGTCACGTTTGTTTCCCGATTAGCTGAAACTATATCTAAAAAAAACATAACTTTGTTTTGGTGAAGGGTTGGCTTACTGACCAAGGAGCAAACACATTTAAATGATTGGACTTGTCATAACACTCATTTTATTAATAACAACAACAGTTCCATTCTATTCAAATGTCCTTGTAAAGCATCACAGTGAGTGAATCATGTTCAACACAGAGCCCCGGCTAATTCCATCACCTGTGCTTCTCCTTGCTGACATGTCAAAATGTCTTCAGCGTCACGTGACCCTGCGCCAATAAAGACATCGTCGAACTCCTAATCTGCGCGTCCAATTTGCCTATACTTGAATGTCCTCTGCGGGCACACCGCCATTGTCCCCTTCTGTTCTCATGCTGGACCTCCATGTTTGCTCCACGTTAAAGCGCCTCCAGCAGCGCCGCGTCTTCTTCCGCGAGCCTCCCGAAGAGACTTTTGATTGGCTGCGGGTGACATCATCCCGGCTCCTTCGCTGGGACTCGGGAGGCGGCGTCAAGCGACGTCCCCCTCTCTCTTCCCCTCCTCCCCTCACCCCCCGCCCCCATCCACAGAGGCGGACATCTCCGCCAAGTCCCTCCCCCCCGCGGGGCCGGACCTCGCCGTGGAAGAGAGAGGAAAAAAAGAGAAGGTGGGATTGAATATGAAGGGAGCCGCGCATTGGCTCGCACTCGCGTCAATCCCGCTGCGCAACTTCTGGAGGCTGGCGCACGTTCCCTCAATATTATTTCTGGGGAGCAGGGTAAAAGTACTAAAAAAAATAATAAAAAAAATAAAAAAATAAAATGTTGCCGATCCACAACACCGGGACGGACTGAATGGAGGCGACGTTGTCACCGAGCGGAGATAATAAATCCACCCGCGACACACACCGGTAAGCTGACATGCGAGTTGGAGATGCGGCGTCCGAGGCACAAGTTGTTTTTTAGAATGCACGGTCATAAAGAATTACTTCTATTATTAATGAAGAGGAATACCAAATTGCTGCTACCATTTTGAGCAGTTTATTTCGGTGATTGGTAGGCTATATATATTATTTTTTTAATAACATGAATGAAGTGTTTTATTACAGCTGTTTCCTTATAATACCCCAACCGCGGCGTCAAAGTTACAAATCCTCACCTAAAAATACAAGCGTCGGGCTTTCGTTTTATTCCAAACAGCGCCGTGAGGTTTTATTCCCTCTCAGTGTTCAGCTCGTCGGATCGGTTCGTCTCGTCCCGAAAGCCTGATCACATTCTCGGCACGTTCTCATGCCGGCTTTCTTCAATGAATTTGGCCATGAATGATATCTGCTTCGGCCGAACCTGCACCGCCCCGAGAAGGACGCGCGACCATGGCCGGGACAGGCGGTGCTCGGCGGGCGCCTTTACATAACACGCCGGGATGACATGTTTTAAAAAAAATATTTTTAAATGCCCAGGCTGCCGATCAGAAGGAATCGCCTTCCCTCTTTTCTTTTCTTTTTTTTTTTTTTTTGACTCCCGACCTCTCCAGTCGGGGGGGAGGAGGGGGGGAGAGACCCGACTGCGGCGTATAGCGTCGATGCAGCATTTCATCTTTTCCCTCTTTCGCTTATAAAAGCTTTAGATCAGAGTTGCGATGAAAAATTCAACATCACACACACAGGCACGCACGCGCACGCACGCGCGCACCCAGTACAGTATTTGGATGAGGATGATTCATGTTACTTACGCTCAAAGTGCTTCAGCGACACGAGACCCTGTAATGATTTCCCTGTGCATTGTCAGTGGCCAGTCTCGCGCACCCACGATTTCCCACCAGCTCGGGTGTTGCCCTGCGGGTATTGGACACGGGGCTGATATTTGAATGCAGTGGCCGTTTTCTAGTTTGCATGTTGATCAAACCGACGGGAGGCCCGCCGCTCTGGATCCGGATCGGCGTACGCGAGCGGAATGAATTGAGCCAAAACTAATCCGAGATTTTCCTCCTCGCCTCACTTTTTGATCCAAATGTGCCCCCACAGAGCGGCTCGCTGACTTCTCCGTGACCCGTCCAGCCCTCGGCGTCCCCATGCCTCCATCTCCTCTTGACGACAGAATTGTGGTGGCGCTGCCAAGGCCGATCCGACCTCAGGAACTGCAACTGCGCCTGGACACCAGCTACCTGGACTCCATCGCCACCAGCACCACCACCAGCACCACCACCAGCAACAGCGAGACGGTCATCAGCACCACCGTGGTGAAGATCCGGGCGACGGCCAATCTTGTAACGTATATGCCCTCATCCAAGGGCTCCACGCGCTCGTTGTCGTGTGGATGCAGCAGTGCCAGCTGCTGCTCAGTGACTACCTATGAGAAGGACAGCCAGAGCGTCAACCACAGCCAGGTGAGCGCCAGCAGCCCCAACCTCAGCTATGCCGGGCCCCCCACCCTCAGCAACCACGAAGCACTGGGCGGCCCCGGTCTCGCGCCGGGCACGCCGAAGGCCCTGTCATGCGTGAGGGTCATCCATCCCAATGAGCTGGCCAAGCGGATGACCTGCTGCCCCATGGGACACCCCGTGGGGCCCGTGCCGGTCGTCATCGACTGCCGGCCCTTCATGGAGTACAACAAGAGCCACATCCGGGGGGCCGTGCACATCAACTGCTCCGACAAGATCAGCCGGCGGCGGCTGCAGCAGGGCAAGCTCACCGTGCTGGACCTCATCTCCTGCCGCGGGGGCAAGGACTCTTACAAGGGCATCTTCTCCAAAGAGATCGTGGTGTACGACGAGAGCACCATGGACCCCGGCCGGCTGACCTTCTCCCAGCCACTGTACGTGGTCCTGGAGTCGCTGAGGAGGGAGGGCAAGGACCCCATCATCCTCAAAGGTGACTCCTAAGTGGCTTTAGCATCTAGCACGAGAAGGGGAGAGAAGCTTTAGTTTGACTTGGGAGGAAGTAGATCAGTTGAGGCTGAGGCATAGTGCCTGCGAAGCCTTTGACCTTTTGGGTTTTGGCCACCTGATATTACTCGTAAACACACCGGTTGAAGCCTTCTCATTATGCGACCTCGGTTCTGAAACGTAACAGCAGCTAAACCGCTTACAACAGCTTCTTGCACGTGTAATCAAGCCGATTCACGCTGACTCTAAATTCCTCAGGCATAGACATATGCACGAGCTCTTCACAGGCTTTATACGACACCAATTAAGCCTTTTGCAGGAAGCGGGAGCAGCTGTTGGTAAGTAAGGCGGCCTTTTCAGATGGCGGTCGCTCAGTTGCTGCCATGCTTTCTATCCTGGGTGTTTGGGGTGTTTGAAGCTGGAGCGATGTGTCGGTTTTGGGGGCTGGGCCGAGTGTTTTCTGACGCCTCCCAGTCAGCGTCTATCCGTCAGATCACAGCACCTCGGCCTCTCTTCTCCTCCTCCGCGAAACGAGCAGCCTGACTCGCTTTCTCTTCTCCTGGTTTGCAAAATGCAAAGACTTACTCGATCAAAGGGCTCTGCCTGACTTTTGTCTAAATCACAAGGCCTTTTTCAGACCTTAAATGACCTCCCACGTCACATGTCTCATAATCAAAATATTTATCAATCAATGGTTGACATTAAACCAAATCCTAGTGGATGGGTAATTTGCAAGTAAATAATTTATCAGTTACCAGCCAGCATGTTTTTGTTATGATTCATCGCAATACATCTTTTTCTATTTGATACTCTGCGAAACTGTAAACACATCATCTTCCGTCCCTGCGATTCTAAAGCCGAGAGCACTAACAGGTTACATTTAATCCGCCAGAGCTGCCATAAACAACATGTCAGCAGGGTCAGAAAGGTTTAGGGTAAGCACTGAAAACAGCCGGTCTGCGGTGTGAGAGACCTTTGCGAGGCAGATGCGGTTATTTCTAAGCAGGAACTGAGCCTGTGGCTTATGAAAGTTTTCCACTAGTATGTTAAGTCAGCTGATGGTGACAAACGGCCCCATTCGACAGGGTTCATCTCACAGCAAACTGCTGCCCCCGGAGATTCTGGTGTCATAAGTTTACTATGAATAGTTATTTAATTGCCGAGTTGGACTTGAAAAAGAAAGATTGCGGTTCAGTTTGAAAACAGGAAGTTCACTGTGTGTCGATGCGAGCCAACAGACGTCGGCTTCCAAGTATCACAGCAGCAGAAGCAAACACGGTTGTTTCATACTTTGGAGACTTTGGAGTTTAACTCATTGTTTTTTTCTTTTTTTTTCTCCATGTCTCACTGCTCTCGATGAAATCTCCTTTTTTTCTAAAAAGCTCTGATAAGCGCACCGCACAGGCACAAAGGATAGGGTAACATAGGGGAGCATTTAGCAGCTAAAGAGCCAGGGGTTCCTCTCATGAGTTGGTTGAGACCAAAATAGAGCTAAAAGCGAGTGAATATTGGACACATTCTTCAACAAAAGAATACTAATGTCATTCTGTTTCTGCTGAAACAACAACACATTTATAAGGTAATAATACAGAAATGTTTCTGTTAGTTTTTCTATTCAACCATTAAGATGAATGGATATAGAATCCACTAAAATCTTGTTGTCAGAAAAATGTATTTATTTAATCTGGTCCTTCTGAACAGATTTTACGTGTTACGGTTTTGTGTTGTAAAAAAGATTTCATGATTTATTGTTTTGCTTTCAAACACTGATCAAATGGTCTTCATTTATACAGCTTTAATACAAGTGGAAATTCCTCCTATTATCTATTCCCCAAATTCTGGTAGACTTTGCTGTCAGAGGGGCCTGTAAAGACTTCCCCTTCTTACGACCACAACATCCCGTGACAGCCAGAGCTGCTCCACTATCAGCTAACATCAGGTTAATGTCTTTGTTCACGGGTAACAATCGGGCTGTTTTTTGGCGAGCCCACCTGCCCGGTCACCAGGGGGGGAAGTTGTACGATGACCTCACATGGCATGATGTCAACTCTTGCATAGTGCACAATACATGAACTGATACTGCGGGTGTCTGACACTTTCCACCCCCCCCACAACTGTTGTGCTGAAGGGAAACTTTGGCATCACCCGCAACAGGTGCAAAGCATTTATTTGGAGAAGTACAGATGTCCAGTGAGAAGTATATTAAACATTTAGCATGGGGGGGTTCTCATGTTATTTAGCGAGTGTAGAATGTTCAAGTAGCTGTTTTGGTCATTTCTCTCTTCTTTTTTTTTTTTTTTAAATAGTTGTTGCAAATAGAAACCTTGCTGATCACATGATGGTGATTAATCATCCGAATGATGACATTTCTCTTACGCTACAATGTAACACTGTGGTCTGGAAACACATGTTAAAGCCCCTCGTCCTTGCTTTTATCAGACGCGTATGCAAAGCTTTCTTGTCCTATTCGTTTCTGTTGTGTGCTGCGAGGTGCACAGAAGCGTGAGTGCATGTATTTTTAGCGCGTAGGGCTCCACCGGGAATTGAACTCTTAACCCTGGCAGGGAGACCAACAGGGTCCAGTTTGCAATCCGAAAAGGGGGGAAAACAGAAACAATGGAGTAAATATGAAGCGCTATTTGTCGGTTTATTTCACCCTGAGCTTATGTCACGCATCTTTCCGTTTTGCGTCCACAGGAGGCCTTAGCTGCTTCAGGCAGAGCCACGAGAACCTGTGCGAGCACTCGCTGCACCTCCACCAGGGCTTGGACACCGGCGCCGCTGCAGGCCTGACCGGGCCGCTACCTCACTCCCTGCCCTCCACGCCGGACATAGAGAACGCAGAGCTGACGCCGATCCTGCCCTTCCTCTATCTGGGGAACGAGCACGACGCTCAGGACATCCACCCGCTGCAGCGCTTCAACATCGGATACGTCCTGAACGTGACCACCCACCTGCCGCTCTACCACTACGACACGGGCTTCTTCGTCTACAAGCGTCTGCCCGCCACGGACAGCAACAAGCAGAACCTGCGGCAGTACTTTGAGGAGGCGTTTGAGTTCATCGGTATGAAAACCTCCACTGTTTTCAAGTGTAAGCTAACGCAATGGTCTCGTGACCTTTCGAGACAATGCAAACTCTACTTTAGAGAAATAACTTACATTGTTGTATGTTTATCGGTCTGTGAATTACAAAAAGGGTGCTTTTGTTCTTAAATGTTACATGTATAGACAAGTATCTATGCAACTTTTTGTCAGTTTTACGTTGTATTTAGATTGTGGTTGGTTGTATTTCCCCAAATGATCTACTAATCAGAAAGGAAGTTTTAGTATCCTATCATGTGTGATGACCAAACTTCCCCCGAGGGAACAAAGCATTTACTACATTATGTTCTAATTGTTTCCAATGTTCCTCTCCTGCAGAGGAGGCACACCAAGCAGGTATGGGCCTCCTGATCCACTGCCAGGCGGGCGTGTCTCGTTCAGCCACCATCGTGATAGCCTATCTGATGAAGCACACCTGGATGACCATGACCGACGCCTACAAGTTTGTCAAAACCAGGAGGCCCATCATCTCCCCGAACCTCAACTTCATGGGCCAGCTGTTGGAGTTCGAGGAGGACCTCAACAACGGGATTACGCCGCGAATCCTCACACCAAAGCTGATTGGCGTGGAAACCGTTGTCTGAAACGAAACCCCCCTCCGGACTCGAGGCTCTCGCGCGCTTGTACTCACTCTCACTGTCCATCTCGGAAGAGACCGGCTGCTCTGTGAGCCGGATCGGACTGTGAGAGCCACTCTGTTCTTCTTGAATCTCCTCGTGCTCATCTTGGACTCTCTGGAGTGCCAAAGCTCTGGGTCAGTGGTGATGAGAAATGCCAAAAAAAAAAAAAATCCCTACTGTTTGGACTTGGCCCAAGTCCAGGAGGAGAAGACGGGAAGCCTTCCATGTGTGATTAAGAGGAACCGAAAAGGGAGGGGGGGGGGATTGGTTTGGAAAAGATATTCTCTGGGTTTATGGGCAATTACTGACCAGATGAACTCTCAACCCTCACACTGTGGCACACAGCTTCTGTTTGCAGACTCAGGCGGGTTGGCCACGGCAGTGCCTGTCAAAAAAAAGAAGAAAAACAAAACAAAAAGATGAAGACTTGTTTGGTGTGTTAATGTTGTTGTTCTATTTTTATACAGGGGTTTATGGGGGTGACCATGACAAGCCCACAGTGGCTTACTGTGCAATAATTTCAGAGTGGAATGCAACTGAGACCCTGATCTTATATGTATATAATGATAATGATGTAATGATTACAATGAAACATTTCCTGCTCTTTGCTGAAATACCATTTTAACGTTAATGTAATTACTGTTGTTCAGTTCTATATGTCCATGGTGCATACAGTTATGCTGTAATATTTGGCGCAGACGTGTGGAACGTGGGGTTTTATTTTTGAGTGCAGCTGGTGGGTTTATGTAAGTCAGCAGAACCACAAATTCATATTTTGTGTGTTTGCTTCAGTATCTTCGTTTTGCCATTCCTGCATCCACATATGCATATATTTTTAGCAATACATTACCTTGACAGCCATAAGAGCTTTTTTTATGCACGGCTGCTGGCAAAGGAAAGAATACTTTAAACTAATCAGTGAATATTGTAAAACAGGGCTACTGGTTTTGTTTAAGTTAACAGAAGGGAGGAGTTTTACCGCCTGCTGCTGTTGTCATTGGTCCCGACCCCGATTGAGTCCCTATGTAGCCACGTTGGTTCGTGTCGAAGCCCTACGCTTTGAGCTGTGCTTTCGTCAATTGTACGGTAGCAGAGCGGAGTTGCAGACTTCCAACGAACATGGACTTCCCCGCCGTGGACGGCGGTGCAGCGGTACGCCGGGCGGTGCGGCAGAGCCGTGTCACCCTTGGCTAATCTCTTACAAGTCCCCGTCGCTGACACTAAGCTACAGTAGAGTGAACTCTCCCGGCGCTGCCGTCGCGTGCTGTTCTTGTGCCTCTATCAATGCCTTAATTCATGTGTCACCACTGGGCCTGCGCATGGCACAACATCACGTGCAGACGGATGCAGAACGCGCCGGGGTGGAATCTTAACTCCCGGGGAAAAAACAGCAGCTCGTGGGCCTCGGTGTGAGAGAGTGTGTGACATTTCTTTACCGACAACTTCCTCGTTAATATGCAGAATTTTAGAAAATAGCATTCAAAGCGTTGAGATTAAAATGCTCGTAGTGTAAATCTGATCTTGTGGCGGCATTTGAAGGGGAATTTGAATCCCAACGCGAATTGTGAATCAACCAAGCACCGAATAGTAGTGTAGTCGAGGTATGCAGGCTCATGAAGTTGACCTCCTGTTGCACCTGAATATAATCATACGATACGAAGAGAATACCTGCTCATTGCTACTTTGCCTTCCTTCTGATCCGAGCTGCAGACGTTTGCACTGTTGCTGATCTAAATTTGGCATTTCAGCCTTGTCAGTTTTACGCTGTCTCAGCTGATGACAGCGAAAATGACAAAAAGGGAATCTACTTGGCCAGGTGGGATGCACGTGTTTTTAAGTCCCTGTATATCACCAAGCACACAGTACAAAGACATTGTCTTATTGAGATGACTGTGTGCATGACCATTTATTAAGTGAGAATTTAAACTGCAAAAATCTTGGATCTGGTTTTGATTTGATAAATCACAAGTGCTGTCAAAGTTCCCAAGACGCAAAAGAACATGTAGTCCTTCCGCTGAAGTTTTAATGTGCCCTCGCGTGGACCAAAAAAACAGGCAGTTACGAGCTTTGTCCGGTATTTTACCAAGGTGACTAGAAACAGCTTTCTCCCCAGTTATATTTGGTTGTGGTTTTTGTTCAGCTCTCCATGGTTTGCATGAAAGAAAAATATTGAAATGAAGCACAGGGCTAATGATTTTACTGTCGAAGCAAAACAAAAAAAGAAAAGAGAAATATATTTTGCAATACCCTTTTTGATCCATTTTATCTTCAAAAGTACATTTGCACGCAACCGTTTTGAGAATGATCGTGTGTGTCTCCGTCAGCAACATCAAGGATAATGCAAGAAGTTTTCATAGCGTTGTGAACACAAGTACACAATGCACCCAGAAAGGCTTTACAACAACATCGTTCACGACAATAAGCTTAAAAAAAATCCCTCATGTGAAATTTCATGCTATGCAAATAAAATTGTAACAGGTTCTTTCTTTAGCCAACTATCGTCAAAAATAGTTTTGTGAGGTCTCTGCGAATATTTCAAGCATGAATGACAGTTTGCAGCCTCAGATTGAAGTGAGTTTTATACGTGTGACTTATCGACAAAGAAATTAGAAGAAAAAAAATGTTTGTTTACCGACGTGTCCTCACTTTGTATTTTTGTTGCTGTTGTCATTGGTGTCTACAGGTGCTCCACAATATATTTGAATATGATAAAAAAAGGTATATAATAACAATTTACAACACATTTGTAGCTTCTGCATTTATATCTAGTAATTCACCATTTGCTAAAAAAACGAAAACAAAAAAACAGAGAGAGAGAGAGAGAGCTTAGCATCTGAGCCGATGTTAAAAGGAAACCTTTTGTCCCGCCTGTCGGCTCCCACAGCCGCGGCGGCACGTGGCTTTTGTAGCTACTGATCTACTCGACGGAACAATGTAGCCATCGTACTGTACACCGGCCTCTGGTTTGCAAAAACAAAGCATGCCGCGTGCTGCAGGTCCGCGACACACACTCGTGGACGTTTTGGTGCCGTCAAGTCTTTCCCCACACATGCTCTGTCTGTAGAGGTCGTTGCCTGATGGACAGCTCCTCCAGGCATCCGGGTCCGTTCTCTTTGATTTGGAAACACGGTTGTGTTTTAGGACATCATCGAGCGGCCATATTTGATGTGCGCTCTTTACGACCTGACTTGTTTAAGAGTCTCTGCTTTGGGCTCAGGGGCTCCGGTGGAAACGGGCGTCACTCCGCAAGTCTCTGTATCTTTCTTTGTGTCTGTAGTCAGCGGTCAAGTATATACAGTATATAAATATATATCTATTTTCTTTGTATGCATTTATTCATTACTATTTTTGCACTGACCTAAGGACAGATGGATTTATTTTTTTCCACAAAGGGTGCTATTATAATGGAGGCCTTCTTCCACACCTTTTTGCATGACTTGCTCAAGATTCCTCAACTGGTCTGTCATCTCTACTCTTCTCCTACTACTCCTTGAACTGTTCCAATTGAAGCACTGTAATTTTGTAATCCCTACTTGTGAGCTTTGAATTAAACAAGGAGGCTTCAAGTTTGGTTTTTGGCGTCCTGGAGGTTTATTTTCTTTATTTATTATTATTTTTTTATGTGTCGCACTAAAGGCCCCAATGTCTCATGTTGTATTTAAGTGCTTAAAATAATCGATATTTATATATAAACAAGGGATGAAATTAACAATGCAATATAAAAGTGAAGCATTTAGCAGCCTGGATGCTTCCAGAAGAGAAAAAAGCCAAACTAAAAGGAATGCGAATTGCGTATTTACATTAATACGGTGCAATTTCAACTAATCAATTCATCATCCATCAATTGTTTTTTTTTAAAGAAAATCCAGAAAAACACATATTGGTGCAGCAGGGATTATCAACCAGGTCGACGGGTGACAGTTGAAGAACTGCTTCAGCTGTAAAAGAGGCAGCGGCAGAGCATCTAAAAACAGCCTGATATCAAAAGAGAAACAACAAATTGAGGGCCAAATATTTCATGGCACCAAGGCCCCCCACCCACGATAAAACCAAAGCCAGGTAGTAAACAGGACAACAGAAGAATCCCCAATGACTTCAATAACAGCAAAACCCGTCCTGCTGTGTGCGTTTTAAGAGACAGCATCTATCCGCCTCTCCACACGTGAGCATCCAGCGGAGGACACAGCCAGAGTTGTGAATTATCTGCGCTCCCCTCCATGGAACCATGTGTCACAAGGCTGCAGGAGTTAGGGGGCCTATATTTACCCTCGACTTCGCAGACGTCTAACCGCCTCATGGCCAGCGGCGAAGGGATGCGGGGGGGGTGCAGGCCTGAGGGTCAAGATCCCTCCACAGGAACAGGCACAAAAATAGTTTTTAGTGTTGTTTCTAATTACAAACGATGAGTGCCCCGCCTCATTAATCCTTTCCTATCAGCACTGGGCAGGCTGGCAGCACCAGAATAGCCCTGATCTCTGTGTGCGGCTGCACGTCGCTCCCCAGCGAGCCATGCATGGACGTATTAGGCAACACAGGCCTGAGAGGAGGACCTACCTTGTCCACACACACACACACACGCACACACGTGCATCCTTCCCAGTCAGAGGCGGCGGTGAAATAAAGCAGAGAGGATCTCTGAGCCTGAGGACTGCTGCACTGGTTACCGTCAAAGCTGCTCGCGCTGTCACGGGAAGATGCGCTCGCACGTCACCCCGCCGAAGCTTCACTAAATGAAACTACAGCAGCACTTTGCACTTACAAGCCATGCATAAAACAATGCTTCTCATGTTTACTTTACAACTAAATGGGCCAAAGCACGACGCAAATAAGGTCAACGAGAAGAAAACGGGAACATGGATAGAAGCATGAAGGTGCTCAATCTGTTTCGGTTTCAGCTCAGTCCAGTTGTGTTTTGCACTTTTAGATGGAGGAAGTTAAATGTGTTGTTTGGCTACTGCCTTTCCGTATATCGATGTGTTCATCTTCATATTTTTCAGTACGTTTTTCTTTGTATTCACGATTTCATTAGCTAACATTTTTTTTTACAATTTCAGAAGACATAGAAGATAGCGAGCCTCTGACCTCGCGGCAACAGTTTGGGCGCGGCGCTTTCTTTTTCTCAACAGGTCCCTGTGCACATAGCCCGCGTTGGGGTAAGAAACCCGGACTGACCCGTGCCGAGCTCAGACCTGCAC